TTATAAATAAAGAAAGAATATAAATATTATATTAATAAAATATTATTATATCTTTAGAAATATAACCTTTATATAAAATTTTTAAAGTATAATTTTTATTAAAAAAAAGTATATTTTTTTAATTTTATTATAAGAATTAAAGAAATCTAAATAGATTTTAAATAAATATATATTATAGATAATTAGCTAGAACTATACTTATTTTATAATATTTAAGTATTTTTAGAATTTATAGAATATTTTTAAAATTTTATTTACTAGTACTCTAAGATTATTACCTTATTAAGTAATATATTAAAGAGAATAATAAAAGGGAGAAAAAATAGCTCCTTTAAAATAATAGAAAATAATTAAAATATCTTTAAGATACTAAAGTAGATATTCTCTAGATTTCTAGTACTATAATATTTTAACCTAGAATAAGAGATATTTCTAGTAACTAATATATTAGATTTTATAATTATAGAAATTTTAATATAATATAATAATATCTAGTTTATAAAAATATAATATACTATTTAGTAACTTATAATCTTTTATTTAAGAAAATTAATTAAAATAAAGAAAAGATATAAAACTTATAATTAAAAATTACTAGTTATAGTAAAATACTTTAAAATATAATATTATTATTTTAAAGGTAATTTATATATAATATATATATAAATAAATTATATAAATTTAAAATATTTTTATATTATTAAAATTTTAAATTAATATTAAATTAAATAGGTTAAGTTCCTAGTAATATATAATTTCTAGATTAAATATTAGTCTAGTAACCTTAATCTAGCTAATATACTTTTAAAGTAAAAAGATTATAAACTTATTTAATAAGATATAGTTAAGGGACTCTTACCTATATTTTAAGTAAAGCTAGGAAATTTATAAAATAATTAAAATAAAAATAAAATAGTAATTTCTTAAGAAATTCTAATTATATAATTAAAAGATTTAGAACTTTTAATCTAAAAAATACTAATATAAAAAGTAGCTAGTAATAAATAAGTTTATAAGATATTATTAATTACTTTATAAGATTTATTTTAAGAAATATAATATAAGAATACTTATATAAGTTATATTTAGAATAAAGCTAGTAAAAAATATCTAATATACTAGAGGTATATTTAAATAATAGAGAAATTACTTAAATAAAAAATAATAAAGTAGCTTAAGAATAATATTAAATAAAGATAAATTTATAAGAATAAATAATATATTAATAATAATAAATTAATATAATATAATAAGATTATTTATATTTTTTTTAATTAAATAATATATTAAGAATTATTAAAAATATATTATAATAATCTATATATAGATTACTTTAATTAAGAAAAAATATTAAATTTTATTAAATAAAAGTTTTATTAAAATATTTTATAATATAATATTAAGAAATATATAAAGAATTATTTAATTTACTAAAAAATAAAAATACTTAAATAACTTTTACTAGGCTAGTTTATAAAGTTTCTGGTACTAGAATATTCTTAATAAGATCTAATTCTAGACTTTATTATAAGCTTATTACTATTAATATAAAAGAAGTATATATATAATACTATTTTAATAATTATAAATTAATATATTAAAGGAACTAAATATCTCCTAATAATAAAGAATATTAATATTAAGGAGCTAGCTAATATATTTATAAAAAAGATTATATTTAAAATAGGAGTATTAAGGAGCTTAATAAGTAATTATAGCTTATTCTTTACTAATAAATATTAGACCTAACTATATTAAGGGCTTTAAATTAAAGAATAACTAAGTATTATATTTTATTTATAGATAGATAGCTAAATAAAATATTAGAACTAGATATTAGAAATTTATTTAAAAACTTATATTAGTTATTAATAAATTAATTAAGTAAATTAACTAGATATAATAAAATTTATATATAATAATATAAAAAATATATTATTAAAAATATTTTCTTATAAAATATAATATAATTACTAGCTAGTATTATTTAAACTTACTAATATTAGGGACTCTAGTATAGTTATAATAATAAGAGAATAATTTAACTAATTATAAGTAAAATATTATTAGCTAGAAAAGAGCTTATACTATACTACTAAATAGTAAGTAAGGAGCTATAATAAGAAGTATTATCTAATTAAATATTATATAGGTTAATAAATATTATTATTTATAAAAAATATTTATATATAAAGGCCTAGTAAGAAACTAAATACTAAATATAAAAGATTATTTAAAATAATTAAGATAATAAATTAATAAATATATTATTTATAATTACTTAAATTATATAAAAAAATCTACCTAGTCTTTTATATATTATTTTTTAAGAAATAAAATATAAAATATAGTAACTTACTAGTATTATTCTAGCTAATTATTATTAATAATAAGAAAGAATAAGAGGTAGAATAGATTATTATATAATAAAAGCTATATAATAAAGACTAATATCTAGTTAAATAAAAAGAATAGCTAATATATAAGAATACTTAATAATTAATAAAAGATTTAAAAAATATATAAGATATTCTAAATAAATTCTATTATATAAATAAGATATAAGTAAGATATTAATAAAATATTATAAAATAGTAAAATATAAAAATAATAAATTAATAAAATTAAGAAATTAAAAAAATTATAGAAATATATTAATAATATTATTTTTTTTTATTAAATTTTAAGATTTAATAGAAATATATTATAAATATTAAGAAATTTTAAGAAAATAACTTAATTTTATTATATAAAAATAAAAATAATAAAGTACTTATATTATAATATTAGTAAATTCTTAATTATTATAATTATTCTAAATCTCCTTATTACTATTCTCTAACTTTATTATATTACTTCTAATATATTATATATTAAGTAGGCAAAATATATTATAATTAATAAATTAAAATAATCTCTCTATCTAGTTCTTAATCTTAAAATAATAAATAAAAATTATAATAGTATAGGCTTATTAGATATAGGCTACTATATTTATTACCTTACTAGATATTACTTAAATTTCCCTAAAATTAACCTATATAGGTAGGATAATAGAGAAGTATTTTTTATATAAATAAATATATTAAATATATTATTATTTTAAATTTAAATATATATAAGAATAGGCTTTTATAGGATTATTATCTTTATATTATTAAGACTTAATATAATATAGGTAATATAGTATCTATATAATAGTAGCTAGGCTAGTAGAGGTAACTAGAATAGTTAGAGTAGCTAGGGCTATAATAATAATAGGAATAATAAGAGCCAGTATAATAATAGGAGCTAGTATAATAATAGGAGCTAGTATAATAATAATAGCAGGAATAGCTAGAGTTACTATAGTAGAAGAAGTAAAAAAAGAGATAGTAAGAGTTACTATAATACTAGAAGTAATTATAAAGGATAAGAGGGATATAATCTTATTAAATAATAAAATAATAATAATAAGAATTATAAAAAATATACTAGTAATAATAAAAGTTATAGATATTATAATTAATATAAGTATAAAAAAATTTATTATAAAAGTTTATAAATAATTAATATAATAGACTTATATTACTAGAATAAAGGTATCTATAAAGAAAAAAATAATAATAATTAAATAAGCTCTCTTCTATAGGGATATAGCTAGTATAATACTTAATAAAGAATATTTAGAAAGAGCTATAAAATCTATAATATAATTAATTATTATTATAATATTTAAATAATAATAATTTATTTAAAATAATATATTAATTTATTAGAAAGAACTTTTTAAAATATAGATTAGATTAAAAAATATATATAAAAAAAAGTATTCTCTTATAATATTTATATTATAATAATATTTTTATTTATTACTAATATATCTAGTAAATTATTTATTCTTATTTATTATTTTATTTAAAATAAAATATAATATTATTTATATCTTATTTAATAAAATATAATTAATAAAAATAATATTATATATATTATTATTATTTCTAGTATTAAATAAAAAAGTAAATTATATTATACTAACTAGGACTAGCTCCTCCTTAATAAGGTACTAAGCTAGATTAAGTATAGTATATATAGCGCGTGGACATACTATTAAGAGAAAGAAAGATAATTATTATAATAATTATATAATATATAATTATATATTAAATTATATATTAAATTACATGCCTAGTAATTAAAAGTAATTAAAAAAATAATAATATTTAAATTACCTATACTATACTAATAACTTAACTAGATAATATAAATAATAATATAATAATCCCTAAAGTACTAAGAGGCAAGTACTTTATTTTATTACTTCTAATACCTTTCTACTACTCTTGTATTCTATATAGCTTTGCTTTCTTTACCAATACTACCCATACCCAAGCACCTCGCCAGCGAGATGCTTACAGATATTTTCTAACTATAGCTTATATTATTATATTTTCTAGTTTAATAACTTAAAATATAGAATATATTTATATATAAAATTAGCTTATTTTTATATAATATTAATAGCTATTATATAAGTTAAGATAAGATTATCTTAGTAATACTTTATAAAGTATCTAGACTAGTATTTTCTAGACTTTTTATTAATAATTTTCTTTATAAAATTCTAAAATATTTTATAAAATATAAAAAGGCCTTACTTAGTAAATTTATTAATATAGTTTATTAATTCTTTTTTATATTAATTAATAAGAACTTACTATTACTTATATTAATAATCTTTAGAGTACTATACCTTATAATAATATCTTAATAATATTATCTAATTAATATTAAACTTTTTTATAATCTTAGTATAATTAATTAAATTACTAATCTTTAATAAATTAATTACTTCTATCACAGCTTTAATTAAATCTATATTATTTAAGATATAAGCTGTTAAAAATTATTAAAAAAATAGTTAGTGAGGGGAAATCAGGCATCAGGTGGGACCAGGTATCAGGTGATCACTGACTGTATCTGCCGCACATAAGCCACTTGCCGACCAGTTAGTAGTATGGTGGGTGACCACATGCGAATCCTGGCTATTGTATGTTTTTGCATTTTTTTATTGTAATTATATAATACTAATCTCCTGTAGTTTGTCCTCTAGAGTTATAAAGCGCATACAACCACAGGAAGTGAAAAATATTGGACTCGTGTTTCCAGAGAAGAGGTGAGCGGGTAGTGTTGGGGTCGGGGTGAGGCAGCAAAAAAAACAAAAACAAGTGCAGTCTTCTTGTCAAGTCTATAAAGAACCTCACTCATCTGTCCTGCCTGTCCTGAGCCCATCTCTCCCATCTGTCCCATATCATGCCCGTCCCTACTGAACATCCCGAGAGGAAGGAAATGCGCAAATGGTTGCGTAGCGTTGAGAGGCACATCACAGGGTTGAAGCCAGACCACCGAATAGCTCCATCTGAGATCGATCAAATTCAGTTTATGCCTATGGTTCTGGATGAAAACTCCAAGGATGGACCGGTCTTTTTCGCTCCTTTGGATGAGTCTTTGCTACCGACCCCTGACGATAAATATGATGAAGAGTACGATATGAAATATGATACCCATGATTCAATCCAAGAAGACTGGAGAGATCCGAAAACCTGCGCGCAAGCAATCAACATTTACTGGTCTACCTATATCTCTCACTACTCCCTCGCCAAAAAGCCCCCGGGTGGTGAAGTCGTGTGGTCCCCGGTTGGGTAAGATAGCATACTCACCCACTACCCTTTCGTCCGCTTTTCTCATGATTCTGATGCAATTATAGGATTCGCAGCCGGGGGTATAAGGACCTCTACCGCTATGTGTTTCCGGAGTTTGGCTTCACCGATGTTGAACAGGTCACACATGGGCCACATATGCCCACGTCAAGGCCACTATTTACAATAATCTCAACGCCGACGATGACCACATTCTTCAGGGGGAGCTGCTCCCTATCTTACGCCTGATGATAGCCCACCTGAGAAGGGCCCGCTTTATCGATCATATGGTCGCACCAGTAAGTCTCCCTTGCATTTTTCTCCCTTTGCTTTCAATCCAAGTAGACCTGAAGTTTAATCGCTTGCCGTGTTCGGTGATGGCCTTTTCTTTCATGGGGCCCCAGCACGCTCGCGTCATCGAAGCCTACGTGGAAGGTCATACCGTCGTGGTGCGCCCGACCAAATTGTACGATCTTCGAACCAAAGATGCCGCAGCATTCCAAAGTTTTGCTCAGTGGTACTTTGGAAAACCATGTGCACCGACGGGCCAGTCTCAGTAGGTTCGCAATGATATTTCTGTTTTGTTCTAGGGACAGCTGGAGCTGTGTGGGGTTATGGACGGTCAGGGTTGGCGTTTCGATTACGGTATCTATTTCATTGGCATAAAGATGTATACGGTCAGGAGTTTTTGTATTATGGGCACAGGTTGAGCAGCGAATGATGCTTATTTTCGTGACACTCGAAGCTACGACCTATTGGATATTGACTTTCTTTGGACAAAGCTTAGGATTCAAGCATGTCAATAGCGCGCCAGAAACCTTTGGTGTGGTCAATAGACTCGATAGATTAAATCGAGAAGTTTTGAAAACATGCAAGACCCAGTCACTACGTCTGTCGAAGACTTGTCTACATGCGCACGAAACCCTTCTTTGGTCAAGGAGGCTGCTAAGGAAGTCGAAGTAGACAACGAGACATTGGAGTGGGACTGCCAGGAACTACGTGATTGAAATACTTGATAAGCTGGAAGAGGAGTTCATTTTAGACCAGGATGACGGGCAATGTCGCGAGGCTAAGCAGGTAGCGAAGGGGAGAAGAGGAGCAAGCATCTAGGTGTTTCAGGTCTTCTCCATGGAGGCTTCTTTATTGGGGACCAAGATCATTTCCAGGAAGTTGGCCATACCGGTCTCGCCTCTCGAACCCGATCAAAAAGCCACCAATGCGTATATCTTTGCGGGGGGGGACAGTGTCTGGTAGGGATAGAAACGAATCATTCTCCTTGTATGGCGCCAAACAATTTGTGCACCTGATTGCTTCGTAATATTCATGGTAAAAGCTGCTGTATTCCCAATCAAGCACTGACTGTTCTCCATTTTCACAACAATATTATCTGGATGAAGATCCCTGTGTGTGAAACAAGGCTAGGCGATGGTGATAGAGGTGGGGGAGGAGGCTGGCGAAGTAACTCCAGAAATACATGCATGGCCCCCAGGGTGGGACTTGAACAGAGAAAGGCTTCAGGTGCACTGATGGACATGCTTGAGGTTACAATTCAGGTCACCCTTGTTGAATGTTTATGAAGAGGTACTCTCATAGGGACTCTTGATGCTAAGTAAGGTACTCTGCCAGGTAAAACATATATATCCTCGTCCTTGGTTAATGAAAACGCCCCTGACCTAACTTCTGAAGCCATGCTGAGCGCGAGACCCCAAGTAAGGATTCATTATTTCAAAGACAACCAATTCCAATCTTGATAACTACCCAGGTAATAAAACAATAGGAGGGTATGATTGATCCATAGTAAATAGTTTGGGGTGGGGGATCCTGCCTCGCAGCGAAGCAACCCCTGAATATGAGATCATTTTGGAGAAAAACTCTCCACGGATGGCAAGATGGCCGAGCGGTCTAAGGCGCACGCCTCAAGTGTAAAACACTTCCTCATACCGAGGAGTATGCGTGTATCGCAAGATGCGTGGGTTCGAATCCCACTCTTGTCATATTTTTTGATTTCTTTTCCTGTGTACTGCTAGTGAGTCATAATGTCTTAATTATCTGACTATCACCATCTCCCGGCAAGGTGGCCGAGCGGTCTAAGGCGCACGCCTCAAGTGTAAACACTTCCTCAAAACCAGGAGTATGCGTGTATCGCAAGATGCGCGAGTTCGAATCTCGCCCTTGTCATAATTCTTTTTTTTCCTTCTTGTGTTGGCAAAAAACTCTAGCCCCTACTTTCTACTAAGCTAATAATAGTCGATGCTTTGAACCCAGGTCCTGGGTACATTAATCTGACCTTGGGAGAAAACTTCCTCCGTCCCTGGCTGATAAAGCGACCGCTACCCACAATCGTCCCCGCACTTGAATCTCTACCCACGCCGAGAGTTAATCCATTCCAGGGTTCTTCTACCCACGCCGAGCTGTAAGCACCCGCACTTGCTCTTTGCTGCCATCATCCATGCTTTTGGGTTCCATGGAAGAAATCCATGGATCCGCGGATGCAGTGCGCTAAGAAGCACTGGCACCACGCTCAGCTAATCAATCATACCCATTCCCAGGAAAATGTCCCAATGGCATCGCGCAGAATAATATAGAGGCGTGAGGCGTCAACCGATATCACATTACCCATGTCGCGTGAATTGCAATGGCTCCCATTGAGACTCCGGTGCTTATTATGGGTGGAGGGCCAGTGTGGGCCTGTTGAGCAGCATGCTTCTGGCCAGGAACGGCATTCACAGTCGTCGAGCGCTATGCGAAACGCCGTGACCAGCCGAAATCGCACCTCCTGAATCCGTGGTCGTTGACACTGCCAAACTGCGAACACCGATGGCGGTCTCCTCCGGTTTGAAGGAACTGGATTGGATATCCTTGACCAGTGCATCCATCAACTTGACGCATCTGAAGCCCGGTATTCTGGTCTGGGTCTTTTCCATGCAGCAAGTGGGGACTTTTATTTGTTACGATCGCGCCAAAAGCTAGGTCTACCTACACCATACCTTACGACCTGTACAAGAAGGAATTGTTGGAGCACTACACTAGATTTACACAAATATTCCTACCTTACCTACTACCTTCAAAGCACGATCTTAGTGGATATAATTATAGTAGAACCCCCTGACAGATCTAAATCGAATTAACTGTGACCGCAATGTGCAAATTGACTGATTGACCGATCAGGGATCGATCAACCTATCTCATGACAATTCACGAGAATCCGCGGCCAGACAGGGGCCCTGGTTGAGAAATTAAACTAGATCTCTGGATCAAGATCCATAGTATATAAAGTAAGCCATTTTACTCTACGAATCTTTGGTTGGACTGTTCTACTATATATCCCGTTATTACAATAAATTGTCTCTACCAACCTTTCCACCAGTTCAAAGATGGACGAGCCAGACATGTGAGGCATCATTCCGGGAAAGGACTCTCAGACGACTGACTGTCTTTCTTACCTTGAATATAAGCAAGTATACGATAGTTGAGAAGCACTCACTCAGTCTACCTTTTTTAGACCCAAAAGCCATGTAACTTATTAACTGAAAGTCACTAATTTGCCTTGAGGTTGTTGGTTGATTAATTTGGGCTCCTGGCAACAACTCCAAGAAGAACTATATCAACAACACCTTTAAGCGCCTGCGCTAGGGCAATGCCAGAAACCAGTCAAATCATTGGGAGAGTGCACCTCTTCTTGGCATCTGAGGTTCCGGAGTCATTTCTTTTTCTTTTTTCCCCCTTTTCTTTTCCGATCTGACGTGAGATATTTTAGTTCGTTAGTTCGTTAGTTAACTAGTTAGGGTTGGCATTGCTTAGTACGCCGGTATCAAGCGAGATCTAGATATGCAGCCCCCAACACGACTCTCTTCAAACGTGCCCTGTCATACCGGAATGCGGATGTTTGCTGTCGGGGAGGTTCGCGTATTTCCTGCCTCCGAATTCCACGGACCATGAGATGGTGTGGAGCTGAATTGGGGATGGGTGGCAAGCTCTGTAACCCCCCACCCCCTCTCAGAAGAAATTTCCGCCATGATTCATGAAAAATCTACCTTGTTTCATTCGCTCGTCTTGCCCGGAGGCACTGTCAGCTGTATACCAAGGTCAGTGGCAAAATCAATCCTGCTCTATATGACATGACATGACTATGCTGGTGTTGCTGGTAAGTGAAGGATCATCTCTGGAAATCCAAGATAGTCACAGGACTAGGGGGTGTATATTTCGAGTCGCCTGTAGTTAGCACCCACCCCAAGGGCCTGTGTTCTAGAAGTTTTCCTATGTCCCAACCCATCCCGTTAAGCAGTCCCCGTGGACCTCAGTAGGATCATGTCCAGCGAGTGCCGTCCACGGGGTCAGTTTGATGGTTGAAAATGCGACTGAGATGGATATTGCCAAGGGCTGCTATCTGGTAGGGCCCGACGCCTCGCCAGCCCTAATTGGTGCGCTTTGCCATGGCGGTGCTTGGCAATTTACAACCTTCCAGTCGTCCAATTTCGCGCTCGAGATGGCGGTCTTGGCGGGCTTTGGGCTCTTCAACCGCTCACAAGTCGGCGTTCGCTCATGTTCCTTCAGGGACGGAGCTGATTCGTTGGCCAGACCAGTACTCTGGACAATATCGGGCGCCGGTCGAATTGCCCGTGTTGGCACAGGGCTTGACTTAGCTTGGTCGAAGCTTGACACGCTTGTTCTCGGTCTCGAAGATAATCAATGTTACCGGATTATACGCTGTAAAAAAAAGGGGGGGAGGAGGAGGCATCCCAGCCGAAGTATATTAGATGCCTTCGTACTGCTCAAGGTTGAACTGGGATTCCCTTCCTTTTTTTCTTCTCTCGTGCTCCCCTTTTCAAGTGAAAGGCTCTCTTGTCGTTAAGGACATCTGGGTGCCTTTTTTTCTTCTTCTTCTTCTTCTTCTGTTGGTTCTCTATCTCCCCCGAGGTCTTGGAACTGGGCTAATTTCGGAATATTCAAACACTAGGCATCCTATTTGAAGGTCAATCAATCATCACACCCAATGGCGGGCGTGAACGGATATACCCAGGATCTGGCTACCGTCGAAGATCCCAATGAGCGTCGGCGCATAGCTCTGCAGGAAATCGACAATGCCAAGTTTGGCTGGCACCATATTAGGGCCATCGTCGTGGCAGGCGTTGGTTTCTTCACGGATTCCTACGATATCTTTGCTATCAACCTGGCTTCGAGCATGCTTGGAGTGGTCTACTGGCAGGATGCTGCTTCTAGCGCTGGCAAGATCCCATCCTCTTCCGACACGGCGATCAAGGTTGCCACCTCTGGAGGGACTGTTATCGGACAGCTCTTCTTTGGTTGGCTGGCCGATCGCATCGGTCGTAAACGTATGTACGGGATTGAGTTGATTATCATCATCATGGCAACCCTCGCTCAGTCTCTCTCCTCGGATTCACGTGCGGTCTCGATTGTTGGTATCCTCATCTTCTGGCGGGTGATCATGGGTATTGGTATTGGTGGTGACTACCCGTTGTCCTCTATCATTACTTCCGAGTATGTGATCCTTTTGATTCTGCCTTATATGGTAAACATGTTACTGACCGATCCTGTTTAGATTCGCTACAACCAAGTGGAGAGGTGCCATGATGGGCGCCGTCTTTGCGATGCAGGGCTTTGGCCAATTTGCTGCCGCCATTATTGCCCTGATTGTCACTTCTGGCTTCAAGGAGTCCCTCCTCACGGCCAAGTCTGTTGGCCAGTGCTCCGGAGTGTGCCAGCTTGCTGTGGATAAGATGTGGCGCGTTATCATTGGATTTGGCGCTGTCCCCGCTTGCATTGCTCTTTACTACCGTCTGACCATCCCCGAGACCCCTCGCTATACCTTTGATGTGGCCCGCGATGCCGCCCAGGCTGATGATGATGCGCATGCATACATCACGGGCAAGCGTGAAAACCGTGTCTCTGTTCGCGAATCTACCGGATCACAACTCTCGACCCCTAAGGCTAGCTGGTCGGACTTTGTGAGCTACTACTCCCAATGGAAGAACGGCCGTATCCTCCTCGGCACAGCTGGTTCCTGGTTTTTCCTTGACGTTGGTACGTGCATCCGACCTCTCTCTCTCTCTCTCTCTCTCTAACATCGATTTTAGCCTTCTACGGTCTTGGCCTGAACAACTCTATCATCCTGAGCGCGATTGGGTGGAGCGGTGGTTCTACCGTCTACGAGTACTTCTACCGCAACGCTGTCGGAAACCTGATTCTCATCTGCGCCGGTGCTATCCCGGGATACTGGGTCACGGTGGCGACAGTCGACACGATTGGCCGCAAGACCATCCAGCTCATGGGCTTCACCATCCTGACGATCGTCTTTATCGTGATCGGGTTCGCCTACCACCCCCTGCTGAAGTCGCACAACGGGCTGCTCGGTCTCTACGTCATTGCGCAATTCTTCTTCAACTTCGGCCCCAATGCCACCACCTTCATCGTGCCGGGCGAGTGCTTCCCCACGCGCTACCGGTCCACCTCGCACGGGATCAGCGCGGCCGCTGGCAAAGTCGGGGCGATTATCGCGCAGTGCGTGTTCGGCCCGCTCGTGCACAAGGGAGCCAAGAACTCGTCGGACTCCCCGTGGTTGAACCACGTCATGCAGATCTTCGCGCTGTTCATGCTCTGCGGCTGCTTCACCACGCTGCTCATTCCCGAGACCAAGCGCAAGACTCTGGAGGAGCTTTCCGGCGAGGACTACGAGCCGTCGTACAACGGGTCGTCTAATGGTGGCGTTGTCGAGCAGGCTGTGGAGCAGAAGTCTGTCTAGCGCAGCTTGCGTAGCTAATAGCCTAAATATCGTTAGGATAGTAGTAGAGTTAGTTGATTCTGCGTAGTTTAGAAGTAATGTGTTTCGGACGTTGTTATTTATTTATTTATTTTTGTTAGTGTAGTACGACTCTACACGGACGCACTTGTTAGATAGATAGCTTTAATCAAGCTACCATAAGAATCCAAACCTGACCCGAGAATGAACCATGGGAATAACTATAAAGAAAACCAGTAAAAAAAAGCATGTAATTTGGTGCATGAGCTAGTGGCAATGAGAATCTAGAGTACTATAAGTATCAAGCTCCCTCCCCTCTCTTTTTCTCTTTTCCTCCTCTTCTATTCTTCCCTGCCTACCTAAGCCTACTCTACTCTACTCTACTCTACTCTACTCTACTCTGACTCTGACCCAAACTACAATTCAGACCACACAAAAAGAAGAAGAAAAAGAAGAAGAAGAAAAAGAAGAAGAAGAAAAAGAAGAAGAAGAAGAGAAAATGCCCCCCCCCCCAAACTTAACCACCACCATCGCAACCACCCAAGACGACCTCGTTTCCGCCCTCCGGCTAATCGCCGACAGCGTCGCCCAGCAGCGCCAGATCGCCGCCAACGCCATCATCTTCCACCCGCTCTGGATGGCCGCCGCCGCCGCCACGCTGGCCGTCGTGGCCAAGCTGCTGTACGCGGACCGCGGCGACTGGCCGATTGTCGGGACCACGGGCGCCGGGTGTCTCATGGCCGGGCTGGTTGTCGTGCGGGCCCTGAGCGCCGGGTACATCGAGGAAGCGGAGCGGGTGGGCACATGGGTGTGGTTGGAGGCGGGGGAAGCAAAGCCAGACCGCGACCGCGAGCGCGTGGTGCTGGTGAGTCGGTTCGGGGATAGGGTTATCGGGGCTCTGGTGCTCGAGGCCGGGGTTGTGGAGGGACACGGGCAGGCGAGGACGAGGAGGAGAGCGACGGGGAGGATTCGTGCGTGGACGGTGCTGACTCGGTATCGACGGAACGGCGTGGGGCGGGACCTGCTTGAGCGGGCGGTTTTGGAGTGTCGGGCGAGAGGGTGGGAGGGCCCGGTGTTTGACCGGGACCATGCGAATTCCAAGCGACTGGTGCCGAGGATGTTCCATGCGCCGTTTGAGACGCGGGAGAAGTGGGCGAAGGAGGTGCTGCGCGAGGTGGTGGAGGAGGAGGAGGAGGAGGAGGAGGGTTCTGGAGGGAAGCGTGGTCGTGGTTAGAGATGGGAGTTGTACTTTGGTTCTCTACTTCTAATCAATAACCATTGTCCATTCACTTGATTAGACTCAACGAGAGTAGTAGATATAAGGTCAGGTATAGATCTACAATTTCGCAACGGTCTCCCCCTCGACGAACCCCGATGCAGTCGACTCAGGAGCCAAATCCAAAAGAGCGTCGTGGATCAAATCCAGCACGTCCCCCGCACACCCGAAACACAGACTCCATCCAGCGCCGCCATGCCCATAGTTATGCACAATGCGACTGGGCTTGCCGCCGTGCTGGCGGAGTTCGCGCTCCACGCGAATATTCCTCCCGCGGAACGGACGCAGCCCCTGCGCCAGCGGGTAGTCCGGGTCCACCCGGGCGTTTTGCAGGCCCGGGAGGAAGTCCTCGCAGCGGGCTCGCATGCGCCTGATGACGGGCGACTCGGGCGTGAGATCCAACTCGCCCTCGTGCGGTTCGACGATGCCGCCGAGCAGGAGGATGTGGTCGTTCCGCGGCACGAGGAAGATCAGCTCGGCGGTCGGGGAGAGATTCGGGTCCGTCTCCACGGGCACCGCCATGGCAGCGTCGATTTTGGGGAAATCCGTTCCGTCGTTGAGGAGCCGGATCAGCGCGCCCCGGATCGGGTAGCAGGTGTGGTCGTTGGCGAGATCCGAGGCGCCCAGCCCCGTGGCGTTGACGAGGGCGTCGGCGTGGAAGCGCCGGCGCAGCTGGGCTTCCCCCGTGAAGAGGTCGCCTGTGATGGTCTCGGTGTGCAGGGTGGCCCCTTTGCTCTGGACGAGCTTGGTGAGCCAGGCCATGCAGACGTCTGTGTCGATTACCGGGGAGAGAAGCTGAAAGGCGTCGACAGCCCCGTGGGAGGGGCCGAGACTGCTGTGGCTGCGGATGAGGCCCGGGCCATGCGAGAATCCCCGGACGCCGCTGGTCGTCAGCTCTTGGATTTTCCGAAGCACGTCGGGGGTGTCTGCGATGGGCCGCGGGAAGAAAAACGTGGCAGGCTTCATGCGGATTCCCACCGCGCTGGCCAGCGAGGGCGGATTGGCCAGGGCGCTGAAGATATGGTAGGAGACCATGCACCACCGCTTGGATTTGGTCAAGGAAACGACATCGGTGTGCTGGCCACAGACCGCGGGCGGGTATTCCCAGAGCGCACCGGCAATCTGGGAAGTCAGCCGTGGCTGCTGGTTAAACGAGGCCCATTCCTTCGAGACAACGGTGACTCTGTAGCCGTTGTCAAGGAGAGCCCAGGCGGTGGTGAGTCCAATGACACCGGCCCCAATCACCAGGATATGGGCAGCATTCGAGGATTGAGCATGTCGGGGGCTATCCCCTGGAGAAAGATCCTTCCATGGCCGGAGGGAGGGCATCGTGGGTTTAGGGCATGGTGCGAGGGATGGCGGGCTGTGCGGGGTTTATATTGCAATTGGCGGACAAAACACCGAGTATGGTGTGACAGTTCTTAACTACAGTGTGCTACCATTTATGAATATTCCCTGTTTCTTCAGGAAATTCCAGGGGTATTGTTCATCAGGAGACATTGCTCTGTTGGTAGTTGAGGTGGAAAGCCGTTGAGACGCTTGACGTTTGACATTTGCGCTTAGTGAAGTACTAGCTGTTTAGCGGGAAATCCGCGTCTTTCAATTGGATAGTCGAATCTTTCCTCTCTTTATTATCCTGTAGGATATCTCTTCCATCATCTCCTCTGACTAATAGGGCGCTCTCAAAGAGGCATAAATGGGTTGATAGGAAGCTGTATGTGGCACCATCAGCAAATCTCCACCCGGCTGAAGAATTCTTAAAAAAAAAAAAAACAAACCAGGGTAATTCTTCACGTGCCTCTTTCTTCCAGTTCATCAGCTTCACGATGCAGTCTAATAAGGATCACGAACCCTGGCAAGGCTTCGTCTACCCCGTCTCTATCCCCGATCCTTGTCCTCGTACTCGCAAAATCCTCATTGTCGGTGCCGGGATCGCCGGGTTTGCCAGTGCCATTGCTCTGGCCCATGAGCTCACCCCCCACGAACCAAACCTCCAGATCACGATCTTCGAGCGTCACGATGTGCTGTCGACCTCTGGCGGCGCCATTAACCTGACTCCTGTCGCCCAACGACACCTGGATCGACTAGGCGTCCTCTCTGAGTTGGACCGTTTCGGCTCGGACGGCGGGGCGGATGTGGACGCCGTCGAGCTTTTCTCTTGTCGATCCGGACGATCGCTCGGTTCCATCGACTTCACCGACGGCCATGGGAACGGCATCAACGGGTACAAGGGCCGGAGGGTGATGCGGATTATGCTGTCGCTGGCCTTGCTCGCCGTGGTGGAGCGCCACCCAAACATTCATCTCATCTACGGGAAAAAGCTCACCCACGTTACTGAAGACTGCAAGACGCAACCCATTCTGCACTTTGATGACGGCTCTTCTGCGACCGGAGATCTCGTGCTAGCCTGCGATGGGGTCCACTCGGCCCTCCGGACACAATACGTTGCGCCCGATCGTCCCTCGGAATACACTGGCCTCTCTTTCCTCCAGACCACCATTGATGCTTCTTCTTCTTCTCCTCCTCTTGCCCCGCCTCCTTCACAGCCACGGCCCTCGTCCGCTCGGGGCAGCATCCTCAGCGGAAGATCCAGCACCCCGAGCATTGCCCCAAGCACAACCTTCAGTACCCGAAGCGCCACCTCCGACTCGCCCATCACCATCCTCCGACCACCCTTCCGAACCTCGGGCCTCGCGCTCTCGCGCCACGGCGACCTCCTGACCAGCTACTGCGACCGGGACCACACACAACTGTTCATCGCAGCGATCGTGCAATTCGAAGAATCCCTAATCCCGCGCTTCAAAATCGACTCCATTCCCGCTTCTTCTTCTTCTTCTTCTTCTTCTTCTTCTTCTTCTTTTTCCCGCACCGTACACATCGACGCCCGCGACCGTCTCGCCATCCACCGCGCTCTCCGGAATGAGATGCGCGCCCGGTTCGCAGGCGCAGGACATCCATGGGTTCGAGAGGTCGCAAACCTCCAGACCAATTGGATGTTGTACCCTGTGTACCAGGTTCGGCCGGGAGGACGGTGGTGGAAGGGGAATGTGATTTTGCTAGGGGATGCAGCTCACGCGGTACGTTCTTTTCTTTTCTCTCTCTCTCTCTCTCTTTTTTTTTTTTTTTTTTTTTCTTTGTTCTCGCAAGCCCATTTTCAGAATTCTATTCTTTGTATTATTCCAAGATCAAGTAACTAACAGAAAATAGATGCCCCCCCGGGACGAATCCGCCGCGTACGCCCTGGACGACTCCATCATGTTTGCTCGGATTCTCGCGCACCACCGCGAAGAGCCCCTGGCGCGTGTGTTCCAGCGGTACGAATCCGTGCGCCGGGCCCCCATCGAGGAGGCCTTCCACGCGGCGGGCCGGATATGGTCGAAGCACCGGGATATGGGGTTTCTGGAGGGCCGGTGGAAGGAGTGGACGATGCCGTGGACATTATGGCGCGGCAAGGCGGAGAGGAATGCTGCGTGGAATTTCGATGCTTATGATACTTGAAGGCGGGCATTTTATATCGTCAATCTACATAGCATAGCATAGCATAGCATAGCATAGCACGGCATACGTGGGATAATTCGGGTACGGGACGGTACGGATAGGATAGGATAGGATAGGATAGGGTTAAAAGAGCAAAAAGAAAAAAAGGTATACCCAGCAATACACGAATATATATATATATATATCAAGATTCTCATCCTAGCTAATTGAGAAAGGAAGAATAGGAAACTCAAGAGGCTCCCTCAAAAAAGGCCAGTAATGAATGGCGACCTAAAAGCGATCTAGAAAGTAAGAGTCTGTCCAGCAGTCCCAACAACCGCCGCCTTGACCTTCCCCGATCCAACCAGGCTATATTTATACTCGACGCCGGTCAACGTCCCCGCCAGAGCCTGGTTCCCCCCCCCCTTGCCAAAGTCGTTGTCTTTCGCAACCGCGTAGCCCTTGTCGGTGGAGTAGAGCGGCTTCGTCGCGCCCACGAACTGGTTCGATTCCACGAGCACCTGGGCCCCGTCGCGGGTGTTGACGCCGTGGTTCACGTTCTCGAAGTAGTTGTTGTAGATGTGGGCCGTGCCGAAGCGGATCGAGGGCCCGCGCGAGTTCACGTTGGCCCAGTGGTTGTTGGCGTAGGTGATGTGGAGGTGGCCGGTGTCTTGGGCGCCGTTTTTGTCGGAGTGGCCGACCAGCGACGCTTTCCAGTGGTCGTGGATGAGGGTGTTGGAGATGGTCACGTAGTCGGCTGCGTGGGTGACCTGTTTTTTTTTTTTTTTTTCTTAGTTTACATAGTTGTGATGTGGTGATGATGATACGTACGTCTAGTAACCCGTCGTAGTAATCCTTGTCGTGGTCGCGGTCAGACGAGACATCGCAGTGATCAATCCACACATTGGTAGATTCCTGCACCGCAATGGCGTCTCCATTCGCCGCCAGTACCTTCTTCACGCCCAGGTTCCGGATGATCACGTTCTTCTTCTTCTTGACCAGAAGTCCGAACCCCGTGAGAACGGCCTTGGAGTCCTTGCCCAGGATACTCGTGTTGCTGCCGACCTTGACGGCCTTTGCGGCCTGCGTGATGGGTCCGCCAACAACCACGACCTTGGGCTCGTCGTTGGCCACGGCGGCAGTGAATTGGGCGTATGAGGAAACGGTGGTGGTCGTGCCGCCTGATCCACCACCGGTGGTGCCTCCGTTCAGACTGGCAAAGCCAAAGGCAGCCTTTTTTTTTTTAACAAGTCCCCAGTCAATGCTTTATCCTCGAGAAGGGGGCCATGGAGAGCCACAACTTACATCGTTAGCGGAAGCCCGCTTGTTCATCTGGGTAGTGGCTGTGGGAGCTGCAAGAACCGGTCCTAGGCAGCTAGCCACAGTGAGGAGCCACTTGATGCTAGGCATTTTGAATCAAAAAAAAAAAAAAAGAGTGGAAACTTTTGAAGATAACGAGAGCAATAGTGCAGAAGTGAAATGAGTGTATAAAAGAGTGACAGGCTGGCTGTTGAAGAAATCAAGCCCGATGTTGGCCGGGAATGCTGGGTTATATACTTCGTCCTGATCAACGTGCCCCCCCCCCCCTGAATCTGGGCACCATATAGAACGGAGATTTTCCGGACTCGGACGACGGGTTTGCAGAGGCGAGAGAGTAAACAGAGGTCAGGGCGGGATCCCAAACACAGGTGGTTTGGGATAGACCACTCCAGAACTTCCCCGAATAACAGCGGACGGACTGTTTCACGGTGATCTGCCAAGTGAAACAAGGGTTTTCCCGCCCAAGCCCTTGGCGACATCGAGGCCCGGAAAGCCTACAGATGTCTTCCGACAGGTGGAATCTCTCTGGTCTTCGAGCTTCCTCATACAAAGCTTCTCAGCCGGAAGCAGGCAGATAATCTATCCACCCGCAAGAAAACCTGAAAGACAGTCGAGAACGTCTCACTTACGAGTCAGTAGACTGGAACCGCACGTCATGGCAATGTCCATCTTCCGCGCGGCGGACACCCGAGACACTACATAACAAGAGATATCTCGATGACTTAAATTACCCGTCCGCGAGACTGGCGTCAAGGACATTTGGTCGACTAAACACGGTCGAAGTAGGCATAACTATGTCTCGAAGACGGAAACTAAACTAAAAGCTCCAGTAATTGGCTGTAAGCGGTTAACTATATGAAGATTGTACTATTTCCTACCGGACCCGAGACACTCAGCTGGGCTTTAATGTATTTGGCACTATCCTCCGTGGAACAGTCTTTCTGACCCTTGCGTTCGTGCAACCAGACAGTGCATTGCCGGAATATGCACTACAGTCTTGCGATTGCAGATACAATGATCGATTTATCACATAGGTATAAGACCAGTGATCCTTCCCCGGCATAGTCCTACCAAGTGCAGTCACCCCAGAGCACGTGAAATACTCCGCAGTGCTGTACCTGGAAGAGCCAGGCATCATTGCTTTGTGAAAAGAGATCATATAGATCAACGTTCGTAAATTAATTAGCCTAAACCAGAGTATCGGCTGCGAGATCCTGCATCAATGTGGGACCTGGTCCAAGAAACGGCCCACCAAGGACATATTCTAGCAGCATCGGATAGACCCTTGAAACCCAGGATCATGCCACTGGTGGATAAGCTCGAGGGCGGCTTTCAAGGTCTGGGATGAGACCTCGCTTTCGTCTGAGCGGGAGGTGAGAAAGCCTTATAATTGCGGACGTTGCATCCAAGATGCTGTATTTGGCATCGGGAACATGTTGCTTGGGCTTGCTCTACCTGAACTCTTGTTTCTTTTAGGCAAAAGCCCTCCGATTCAACTTTCGGAATGATTGAAGTTCTTTGGCAGACTTCAATCCAGCCTCGGAGAATGGCTGGTCCATATTGTCGATAATCTTCCTTTGATTTGATCAAGATACCGATGACATGGAGGGATTCGATCGAGGTTTGGACATGGACAAAGGGGAGAGAGCTTATATTTTTTTTACCTTTGTGCCTGAAGCAAGCTTCAGCCAATTGCTTAACCAATTTACGATAGATAGGTCAAGTCGGGGCTTCATGCAGTCGATTCAAGAGGGTTAGGGTCTGGAGACGTGGAAGGAGAGAACTTGCCTAAGTTTTAAATAGCGTAGAAAGTAAAATAGAATAGCCGTACACAGCATCTCAATACCCTGATCAAGCTTCTAGAGGCAATCATGGGGTTGGGGTTTGTGTCAGGGACACAGCTGCGCTGCTGCTGCTCACCTTGGTGCTCGCACCCCAGAAGGAGGCATCATCCCAGTGAGTATGTGGGCCAACACAGTATGTCAGTCCCACGGCTAGCTGGCCATCGCAGTTACTGCCGGATCATAATGACGGTGACCCTGCCAACATCGTACTGGTATCTCCCAGCACTTTGATATCAAATCTCTTGCCAAGCATGTAGATTATTTCAACTACATGTCTTATGACCTGCACGGTGTCTGGGACCAAGGTAAGCCAGTCGGCTCCGAATTATAAACACACGCTGACTCTTGCCTCTCTCTCTCTCTCTCTCTCTCTCTCTCTGCGTAGGCAACAAATGCACTAGTGCTTCCCTTGACAGTCACACCAACTTGACTGAAATCACAAAGTCAATGGATCTACTTTGGCGGAATAATATCAACTCTGATCAGGTCACTCTGGGCATTGCGTTCTACGCCCGTGCATTCACAGTAGCAGATCCTAGTTGCCAGTGAGCTCTTCTTCATCTTTGCCTCGATAAACCATACTGACCCTGTGTCTAGAACGGCAGGCTGTGCTTTTGCGTCCGGTTCCAGAAGCGGTAACTGTAGCATGCAGACCGGGGTTCTCCTGAATAGCGAGTTCGATGAGATCCGGAAAGTATACGGGGTTAAGCCAACCTTGGATAAGGAGGCAGCGGTGGAAGTTCTCACCTGGGACAAGGACCAGTGGGCAACCTATGATGATGCAACAACCTTCAAACTTAAGATTGACTTTGCTAAGCGCTTCTGCCTGGGTGGCATCATGGTATGGGCCGTGAGCCATGACACCTATGATGCAGCCTACTCCTTGATACTACAGGCCCACAGTCCCTCGATCAAGCGATCGCCCATCATCAAATCGCTCGTGACATATCATGACCAGACCGTCACTGTCGTAGAGAAAGCTGAGTCTAAGCAATGTCGATGGACCGGTTGCGGTGCTCTTTGTCCTAGTGACCTGGTAACTGTGTACCGCAGCGATCCTGGAGCCCGCCATGGGGAATTGATGCTTGACGGGACCGGCTGCCCCGATGACTCTGTCCGTACCCTATGTTGCCCTCCGTACCATGCCGTTGAATGTGGATGGTACACGCACCACAATGGCAAATGTGACCAGACGTGTCCGTACGGTGTATGGATGGGACAAACACAAGAGACAGCCTCCATCTCAAAGGGGTTGTGTCACAAAAACTACCGGGCTGTCTGCTGCAGTTCGGGGAGGAGCGGCATGGCACTCTATTCGTATCTCCGTTGGGCTAAGTGGCCACAATGCGCCAGTAGGATGTGCTTGGATTCCTCTGGAGATGACTCGACCATGACTGAATCCACGACTGGATCCGGCGACTCCTTGTGCAAATCTCACCAGCATCGGAAGCTCTGCTATGATAATCCCTACAGCGACGATATAGGCTGGGGCAACTGCTCCTGGTATAATGACCTTGGGCTTCGCCCGAAAGGAGTGTCTTCTCACTATTGCAGCTCTAGGCACTATCCGCGTGGGACGAGTGGTGGTGTGACTGGGTTCAGTACCATTTCAGGCGGTCAAAGGACTGGATATTCGCCGGGCTAACAAATTACAAGGATCTGTGGGAGGGAGAATCAGATCAAGATCCCGCCAGGATTCTTGTCCTGAGCAATTTGGAAACGCTCGAGGCTGCGGCGGGGCATATTGTCAAGCTCGATCCGACCATTTTCGAAAATTGCGTGGCTTGGTAAAGGGAAGGGAGGAAAGAAACCGTCAAATATCATAGAAGGTCGAATTTATCTGGCTGAACGATGAGAGATCGTTGTCTCGAACCATCTTGGTAAAGCTGGAAAATCATGAGTATGCATGCCATGTTTTCTTAATACTACCATAGGGCCTTACCCAAAAACAAACTCTTCTCCAAATCTCGACGGGTAGGCGATCTGCCATAGTATCTTCTTCTTCTTCTTCTTCTTCTTCTTCTTCTTTTGGGCTAAGCAAGGTTTGAGAAGTTGAGAGCACAACAGTTGGAGAAAGAAAAAGAACAAACAATGTGGGCTTAGAATTTGAGACATCACGTGGAATGTAGCTTTCGAGAATTTTAAGTATTAATCAGTAATCTAAACATATCAGATTATGTACTACATAGTACTATATAGATTTGATTTCTACTAGATTAGACCTCGGATATGATGATAATGAGCGGATGAAAGCGCTGGCAGATGGGGACAGACCAGAGGGGCTACAAAGAGCCAGTGTATAACAACAGGTTCCTGTAGCCATATAAATATAGATAGATACCTATATATATGATGGCGGGAGTATGCTCACTCCAAATCCACCAAACATGTTACTTTTCAGTCTATATCAACAAAGATGCTGCTTTGATGAGTGTCCGTCAACGAGAGAAGAAAGGGCCCTCGTCGAAATTCTCTCTAGAAGAACGAGCGAGGATAGCTGAAATACACCGACCGTCTTCTTGGAGGATCTGGGCTGATGATGACAAGATAATCCAGATAGTTATTGTTAGAACGGTTGATGCGTAAGATGTTACCTAGGTAGGCGGCTCCGTTTCATTCTCTTGGGCTTTCCTCCACTCAGATATCGTTAGCAAGTACTACATAGACTTCTCTCTGGTGAGCCCTATCTTGTTGATTCCACGCTGAGTCGAGCCGAAGAGCGCGTCGCATATACAAGTCCAAAGTCATGCACATACAATAAATACCATGCTGTTTCAAAACCCTTGGCTTGGACTATCTTTGCCTACTGGGAAAAGTACTTTGGTGAGAATTCCATCCGAAATTAAAGGATCAAGGGCGGTTCTTACCTTTTGCTAGCTTTAGAATCCTTTGAGCTGCATCTCACTCTAGCAGAATGCAATTCGCGAGCAGATACCTATGATTCTATTTATGGATTTATCTACACAGTACAGAATTTCCAATAAGAATTGTATTAGTACAGATGCAAAGAGGAAACAAGAATAATTAATTATTATACAAGATATTAACAGATGAAGTGGTCAATGAAAGTACTCCTCCATAACCAAGCCTTAGTGTATACATGCATCTAAACAGTTAGAAACAATAGTAATAAAGACAAAAATATATATATAAATAAAAACATACCTAACAATTACCTACTCACAGCCCCAACCCCAGAAACCTGATGGCCCAAAATCACCCCCATCACAGCAACCTACCCAGCCAGTCAGCACCATGCAATCAACATCACACAACAAAGTGCAATAAGAAAAGGAAAAAAAAAAAAAAAAAAAAAAAATCTACTCACCAAGGACAGATCCACCCCCTGCGCAACCCTCACTCTCCACTTCGGCCGGAATCTAAACGGCGGCTTCTGCCCCTCCATCAACTCATCCAGATCCGTAACCCGCTCGATATACGCCACGCGGCGGCCCTCCACAACAGCCACCTGGAGCACATTATCCAAATCCAACGCGCGGATCTCCATGACAGTCTCGTTGTCCTTCGCTGCCAACGCCGGGTGGTGCGATACCCGCGCCGCCGCCGTCATGGTCGGAGTCGGAGTCGTAACCGTCTCCACCATGTTCCGGAAGCGCAGGACCACTCTCGGAGCCTGGATGGCGACTCGACACTTGGCGGAGAGAAGGACGTCGCTGTTCCCGGTGTCTCCTGGGAGCTTTAACTCCAGCATTGACGAGTTGTACCATCGGCCGCGCAGCTCGAAAAGCGGGAGCCCCGAGCGGTCGCGGAAGACGCGGCGGTGTCCCAGGCTCCATGGGTCGCCGTGTACTGTGAACAGGGTGGCTCCGTTCCGGTGGTAGATTGTGTAGTCGAGGGCGTGCCAGGGTTCAGGACGATTGCGGATGGTGAGGATGGTTTCGCCCGGGGTGATATGCTCGGGGCGGATTGCTATGGGATATGCTGGTGTGGTGGGTTGTTGGAGTAGGGGGGAGGAGGATGCTATATTGCCGCCATACATGGTATGGATCCGATGCAGTCCTTGATCGGAGGCGAGATATAGATCTTTTGGTTGAGTTAGAAGGGCGAGGAGTGGTGATGTCCATTGGGTCTTAGGAGGACCATGGAGGCATTAATGAATTCCAGATTCAGGCCATTTCCCCATCTCAGTCAATATACGATCAATCTATATCCAAGGAAATTCACTGGTTGGTTTTCTTTTTTTACCCCCTCCTTCTAGTTAAAGACTGGCAGTCCTCGAGTCTGCCTTGGGGTATGTTGGGTTCCACAGCTTCTTGATTGGTGATGGGTGCTAGTACTAGAATGCAAGCCATGGATCCATTTAATCGGCCCCAGTGTTGCGCTTTTAGCATCGTTATATCTCAATTTCTTCCTTTCCTCGCTTGGGCTCTAACTAGACAGGTCACCAATATGTGGCCCACTCGCTTATTCCTTGCACCACTTTTACAAACTCCTTTCCGATGACTTGGTCGGTACGTTCGGATGGATGTAGTTCATCATACCAGAGAAATGAAGCCGCGTTGGGCAGTTTCTCGCAATTTCCTCCGCTAGTATTACAGTGGTGGATGTATCCTGTCACATTCGCTGGGGCCGCCAGGTACTTGGTGGGATTGTAGTAAATGTGCGAGATCTAGACTGTCAGCAAGCTAATTTGAAAAGAAAAATGAAATGAAAAGAGGAGAAAAGGAGGAGGCCCTACCAAACCATACGTGTCCATCACCGCAAGCTGCGCCCCCGGATAGCGATCCGCTATCACCACCTCATAAGGAGTCTTGTACTGAAACACGTTGTTGACCGTGGTCACAGACTCCCACATGCGGTAGCTTATTTCTGTGAGATTTGACCCCTTATCCGGCCAGTACTGTGTTGCAGCTAGACCACCGTCCGCCGGAGTCGCATACTGCGGAGAGAGCTGCAGGGGGGCTGCATTCATGATCACAAAGTACCGCCCACCATTGGCATAAACCTTGTCCAAGGCATCATAAACACACTCAATGTAGTCTGGGATTGTGGCGTTTTTGACCTGGGAGTCTGTGAGGAAGGCATCATTCCCCAGGTCGTTTGTTCCAATCCAGATCGCGTAAATCGTTTCATCCGACGGGATGTCTAGGAATTTCTTCCCCCGCTGCGTGATATGGTTGCTGTCGGCGACGTACGCAGGAATCTCATACTCTAGAACAGAGGGGAAGTCGGCGTCGATTGAAGAAAACCAGCGCGGGGTGATTTTATTTGAGCACACGGCTCCGCTCACGGCATAGTTGTAGCGGTTGACATGTGCGGTTTGGGCTACATAGTATCCCCATGTATACCCTCCCGAGGCTGAGCTATTACTCTGTTGATATCACACATTAAGTATAAATTCTGTGGATTTGGCGACGGTGAGATCAAAATAGAAGAATGAAACGGAGTAAATTACCACTGGTTCCACCCAGCCTACTGGTGGTGCTTCACCACTGTGACTGGCAAAGTATCCCAACCGCGAATCATCAGTATAACTATCCCCAAAGGTGACCAGGCTCTTCCAATTCCGCGGCCCCCACTGATGAGACTGGCGCGCAAGAGCTCCATCTAGGCCAAGTAGCAAAACCGCCGCGATTCGGTATAGATAGCCCATTTGAGCTCCGGAAGACGTTGAACGTTCACAATTCAAGGCAAAGAACGGAAAAGGAAATAGAAAAAAAAAAGAAGCCACAGGACAGGGACAAGCTATCTAGCAGAAAATACACCAGAGATCTCCCAGGGTTTTATTTCCCCCCCCCCCCCCGGTTGCGTCGGCCCGGTACAATTCTCATCGATTGGTTAAGGTCATGAAATGATCCCTTACAGACTACCTATCTAGTACTACCGACATAATAAGATGTGGGGATAGCTCCCAAATTGGCTAAACGGGTAAATGACTCAAAATTGGGGATTTTAACTATGTCCCTAGCCCCGTACTAAGGGATCTTGATATCTGTTGGTTGTGTCTTGTTATTGGTCATTACCAGCTAAGCTACCTGTAGGTAGTATGCAGCTTTCCCCTCATAATCCGGAGAAATTCGTCCAGGTGATGATGGAGCTGAATGACCACAATTCTCCTGGTCAATAATAACTCCTTGAATAACAGTGAATTGGTCACATAGAATCCGTGCGGTGGCTAATAGTGAGTACAGCCGACAAGCATCTGATCCAGAATTTTAAGACGATTAAGCTGTTAAATCCTTGTCTCGGTTTCCAGCCGAGAGACCAGGGTATATTGTTGAAGAGGAAGAATTTAATCCTTGCCTAAATCTAGCACTTTTATCAGGGTTTCGCCGTGCAGGAGCAACCTTGATTTCTTTTAGATGCTACCAGATTTGTGTTTATAAGGCAATTTGTCTGCTAGGTATTTGTTCTATACTTATCAACAGGCTCAACAACTAGTTACCTAGGTACCTAGTGATAGGTGACTTCATAGCATCTAACAGACTTCAAGGTAATCTTGTTCTGAGAGTTTGCATTGGCAATATGAGTCTAGACGAAGTGACTAGTTGGTGAGTTGGATGGTTAGGGTTCCGTGATCTCTTACCACGCAGTGAAGAGCTTCAATTATGTGATAAATCTGGATTAGTTACCAACTACTATTAGTTAAATAAACGTCATTATCTGACATGGTTCAAACAACTACTCCGTACTAGATAAATAGTAGAAAATGATCAGATCCGAGGCTAGGCCTGGGCGGATCGCAGAGTTACCGACAGCCTTGGTTATACGAAGAAAGCGCCGAATCCGTCGCTGGCTTCTTCCTCGGCTAAAATTTGGACAGTCGACAGAATTCTTGCTTGCCTTTGATGAGCTTCAAATACTATTTCCATTGACTTTTCTTTGCTTTCTTTGTTTGACCCCTTTTGTCCGATCAATAAAGACAAAGCAGAGTAGGAGACTTTGGGTGATTATGCATAAAGTATTTATGTATCGATATACATACATCCCCTATTGATCTTAGTTGCCCAGGAAGCCGAAGAAATATAGAGCTTTCCCCGCACTGAACGATTCCTTTCGAAATCCCCGGTTACTTATTTCTACTTGTAGCGCCTTCTCAGCTCGTTCCTCGATCTTTAACTTTTTGAAAACATTCCTGTCTCCCATCTCCTTGTGCACTCTATTCCATCGCCATGGTATTTACCGCTCCAAGCATTGCAGGCACCCTGCTGCCAATACCAGACGACATCCCAATCAGCCAGTTTATACTGACAGAACAACATGGACGCTTCCCCATGGCCACTTCAAGACACCCATTCACATGCGGACTAACCGGCAAGACCTACTCCACGTTCGAAGTAAAGGAGCGAGTGGAATACCTCACCCGAGCAATCGCACAGGAATTCAATTGGACACCGGGCTCGGGCACAGAGTGGGACAAGACTCTCGCTGTGTTCAGCGTCAACACTGTAAGTCCAGATTCGGACAATCAATCAGTGTAAAACGAGCGTTCGTGGCTGCTTACATCTTCTTCTCTTTGAAAAAAAAAAAAAAACTAAATAGATTGACACCCTTCCACTAGCGTGGGCGACACATGAGTTAGGAGGCATTGTATCACCTGCTAATGCAGCTTATTCGGCGGCAGAACTAAAACACCAGCTACTCGATTCCAAGGCAAAGGCCCTTTTCACATGTATTCCGCTTCTAGCCACGGCCCTGGAGGCGGCTTCTCTGGCTGGGTTGCCAAAAAATCGCATTTACTTGATTGAGGTCCCACCACAGCTCAGCGAGGGTATCAAGCCTCCCGTGGGATATACAACGGTCTCGCAATTAATCCAAGCTGGAAAATCACTCCCAAGAGTGGAAAGGATAAAATGGCGTGCTGGAGAGGCTGCGCGCCGAACCGCGTTCCTATGCTACTCAAGCGGAACATCTGGATTGCCGGTAGGTTACCCCGGAAGAGGGCAATCGATGTAGCTAACAGTGGCTGCGATTCTAGAAAGGAGTCATGATCTCCCATCGAAACGTTATCGCGAATGTCTTGCAAATTACTGCTTTTGAGAAATCCTGGCGCGATGCCCAGTCCACTCCTGGCGGTGCCTACTATACTGATGTTGTTCTCGGATTGCTTCCTCAAAGCCACATCTATGGTCTAGTTGTGATGTGCCATTGTGGACCGTTCAGGGGCGATCAAGTCGTAGTTCTCCCCAAATTCGAGTTGAGGAGTTTTATGGCTGCTGTTCAGAATTTCAGGATCTCTGCTTTGTTTGTGGTTCGTCGGAAACCTATTTTTTTTTGGGACAGTAGTAAAATAGACTGCTAATTGCAAATCATTCAACAGGTCCCTCCAATTATCATCACGATGATTCGCAATCAGGAAATTTGCGCCGAGTACGATTTCAGCTCAGCGATTTCCCTCTTCAGTGGAGCAGCACCTTTGGGCAGAGAGACAGCACTCGACTTCCAAAAAATATATCCACAGGTTTCCATTCGGCAAGGATACGGTCAGTGCTATTTTCCCACTGAATCCACCAAAGAACAAAACGGCTGATACCCGCTAGGACTTACTGAAACTGCGACTGTTGTCACCTCAACCCATTACAGCGATGTCTTCCTAGGTTCCTCGGGATGTCTTCTCCCCGGAGCTGAAGTGCGCATCGTCACCCCAGAAGGCGTCGAGGTCACCGAATATGAGACACCGGGTGAACTTTGGGTCCGCAGTCCAAGTGTCGTCCTGGGCTACTTGAACAACGACAAGGCCACCAAAGAGACATTCGAAGACGGATGGATGCACACTGGCGATGAAGCCATTATCTGCAAGAGTCCACAGGGGATCGAGCATGTGTTTATTGTGGATCGAATCAAGGAATTAATCAAAGTGAAGGTTGGTGGTACCTACAGCCGCGTGTCCAGTGGTTCTGACTAACTTGGCTTTTCAGGGTCTACAAGTCGCTCCGGCGGAGCTAGAAGCTCACCTTCTCATCCACCCTGCCGTTGCGGACTGCGCCGTGATCGCGATCCCCGACCATGCTGCAGGCGAACTTCCCAAAGCCATTGTGGTCAAATCACCGGCCGCAGGATCAGACGATGCAGCGACCATTCAATCCATCATGAAACACGTGCAGGATCATAAAGCCCGCCACAAGTGGTTGAAGGGTGGTGTCCGGTTCGTCGACACAATCCCTAAAAGTCCCAGCGGTAAGATTCTGCGACGATTCCTGCGGGACCAGGAGAAGGAAATCCGTAGACAAGCGGGTGTCAAACTGTAGGCACTATGAAGGCACTGGCCATAATGCGATCGATATATTGTATCTTCAGGGTCTTAGTACGGATATACAGTACCAAGCCAGACTAGACTAGGTTGATCGAAATTAGAATTCCACAATTTAGCCTCATCTCCCCTCTTTCTCCTGATCGACAAAATCGATGATGACAAAATCCAGTTGGTGATGTGGATGTTTGCAATGTTTGATGGAAGCGCGGGGGAAAGAAAAAGAAAATGAATTTCTAAGCGGGGTTCGAATTTGACTACAAGATTCTTGATCTTTGGCTTGTATTCTCACCACACATCTCTCTGATTAAAATCCTTTTTTTACGATAATAGATTTCTTATACCCTTGAAAAAGTTGTTTTGTATTTTTATTTTATTTTTTTTATTTTACTTTTTTTTTTTTGATCCAGTCTCATTACAATGTCCTCCTCCCAATATCCTCACAACGAGGGAGAGGAAGATGCCTATCTCCAAGCCGACGAGGCGGAAGAAATCTTCAACCGGGATGATGAAGACCACCCGATGGACTCAGATGGCGAAGACCAGGATGGAGATGGAGACCACGAAATGGCCTTTGAAGAACAAGAGATCACACTTGAGAACGACTCCGCCGCGCACTTCGACCTGCACAACGACTCCATCTTCTGTGTCGCCCAGCACCCGATTCACAACGCCATTGTCGTGACAGGGTCTGGCGACGACACTGCATATCTCTTCGACTCGACGCCACAGAACGAACGGCCCCTTCTCCCGCAGAGCTACGAGTCCAACCCGCAACCGCGACAGGAGCGGGACTCTCTCAAGCCGCTCGTGAAGATGGATGGACACACAGACACGGTCAACGCGGTGGCCTTCACAGAGCCCCAGGGCGAGTATGTGGTGACCGCGGGGTTGGATGGCAAGTTGCGCGTGTGGCGCGATACTTCACCGCAGCTGACGGGGCTCTCGTGGGCGTTTGTTGCGGAGGCCCAGGAGGTAGAGGAGATTAATTGGGTGGCGGTTTGTCCCTGCGCGAATGGCGACGACGAGGAGAAGAAGAATGTGGTTGCGCTGGGTGCGAATGACGGCAGTGCGTGGGTTTTCCGCATTAATCACAACGATGCCGCCGAGCCTATCTCGATCATTCAGACTTTCTTCCAGCACACCGGTCCCTGCACGGCGGGTGCTTGGACCCCGGATGGGAACATGCTTGCCACTGTTTCCGAGGATGGTAGTTTCTACGTTTATGATGTCTTTGGCCATGCGGCTGCGGCCGGTGTTCCTTACTCTGCTGGAACCAGCGCGGTGGTTGGGCTTACGGCCGAGGACCAACGATTCGCTGTGGAGGGCGGTCTGTACTCGGTTGCGATTGCGCCCACTGGTGGATTCGCTGCTGTTGGAGGAGCAGAAGGTCATATCAAGATCGTGGGTCTGCCTCGTCTCGGTGCTGGCGGTGCTGGCGCGGGCAAGTCCAAGGGCAAGGGTGCTGCTCCGCAGACCTCCGCCGCGACGGCCGGGACACTCCTTGCTGCATTGCAGCCGCAATCCGATAGCGTTGAGACGCTCTCTTTCTCTGCTCCGCCGTTGACTCTCCTGGCAGCGGGCTCCGTGGATGGCTCAGTCGCCCTGTTTGACACTGCCCACCGATTTGCCGTGCGTCGGCACATCAAGGAAGCCCACGAGGGCGCCGTCGTGAAGGTTGAGTTCCTGCAGAGCCGGTCCACCACCGCCACCCCTGCCGCTCGTCCCAATCCTCTAGCCGCTGCTACGGCCGGCCAGGGTCGATCGTATCTTCTCACGTCCGTTGGTATCGATGGCGTTGTGAGACGCTGGGATGCCCGTGGAGGAACCACAGCTGCCGCCCACGGTCTTCTGACAGAGTGGAGAGGACACCTCGGTTTAACTGAGAACGAGGAGGGCGAACAAGCCGGTGGAATCATGGGCTTTGTTCAGGGATTTGATGGAAAGCGGGTAGTAACTGCAGGCGACGACGGGATTTCGCTGATATTTGAAGAATAGGCTCATTAGTACTTTATCCATGATTTGAACAGTTTATATAACAATCAATGATAATGCCCTTGAAACTACGTCAATATTTGTACCACGCATGATACTTTGAATATATTTTTTCTCTTTTTTTTTAGCACATGATCAGTTTGCACATACATTCAGTGCTGCATATGTACCGGGAGTACGGAGTAATATTAGATGATTGATTTATCGAGGCTACGAGTTAAATTCAGTGTGGATTCCCGTTTCGCTCCCAGCGCCTTAACTCTAGGTACAAAGGTTCAGTAAAAGATCTCATGGCGAAGTAAATCATTTTAAAAGATCTCATGGCGAAGTAAATCATTTTAATATAACAATGACAATGCTATGTACATGCACGCGATAAATCAAACCCAAGCGCCGTCTGCGGAGAGAGCTAGACGCTCATCCGTAAGAATCAGACAGATTCCGATGAGGAGCACCCCTTCTATAGTATAGCACACAACCAGAACACTCACCATCCTCGACGCAACGCTTTCTCTTCAGAACAAAATCGGATTTCTTTTCCGTGGAAAGCCGGGGGTATCCTTCATCCTTGTTGCTGCGTGTTGGTCGTGACTATTCTGCCCTTGTATTGGTTTTTTTTTTTTTTTTTCGTTCTTTCTGTTTTTCTTGTCCGATACTGGGGACGTTTAGTGATGGTTGTCACCGTGGTGGTGCTCGTCCTGCAGGAAGAAGTGCTCGTATGCGCAGTAGCCGGCGAACGCAACGCTGGCAATACCGAAGCCAGGGAAGATGCGCTTGAATCGGTTGAAGCGGCTGAAGGGGCCGTTGTACCTCCACGCCTCACTTTGCCCAACAGTCAGTGACAGTCTCCAGATGAATTGAGTAGCGTCGAGGCCTTACTATCGAGCCCAGGGGTCTCTCTTAGCGTAAACCGACCGGGGGGAGGCGGCGGCCTTGAATTCACGGATGTCGAATCCGGTGGGGTGTTGGACAGGCATGGTGTCTGACAGAGAAACAATTGAAATTGAAGGAAGCAATAACCACAGGCACAATGGAAGACAGATGGCTGACTCTCTGTACCTCTGGTCTGGTCTTGTAGTGGAAGGAATGAATGAAGTCGAAGCGATTCCGGCAACGAGCGAAGTTGAGGCTTGGCACGCTAATCCCAAAAGCTCCTCCGCCTTCCGGTTCGTTCGTCACGGGCCTGGAAAGCGCGAAAAAAAGACCAACCAACTGACTTCCTGTCCTCTGCTTCCCCTCCTTCATATCCCACCATTTCAGATGTATGCACAGCCTCCCGTGCTGTACTCATCACCATGCCCCCTCCAGTCGGCAGATATGGGCCTGCGGGTCTAAGCGGTCCCTATTCGCACTTACAAGCTCATCTCCAGCAACAGCAGCAGCAACCCCAGCATCATCCAGCTCACGCTCCGTCTAGCAACACAGCTCTCCCACCTCCCTCCCTCGGTGGCCATCCCGGTTTCGCAACGGGGAATCCGAACACGAATATCAATCCGTTCACGTTATCCGGCGCCGGCATTGCCAACGGAATGTCCGTCGCAGGGTTTGGAGGTACCGATGGCGGTGGTACGGGACTGGCGAGTCATGCCGCCCAGATGGGCTTCGCGAGAGGCGCACAGATGCAACAACAGCAATTACACCAGGTGCATGATGGTCGGTTGACGCTTGATGGCAAGGCAAGTGGCGTGAAGACCCGGATCCGCGACGTATGGAAGCACAACCTGGCCCAGGAGATGGCCGTGTTACGACAACTGGTCGAAAAGTATCCCTATATCAGCATGGTAAGGGTCCAGATCGCTATGTAGCTGTCGAGGATGGGGGGTCAAATTGGCTATTGGCCCATGCGAAGTTCCATTACTAAGACCACTGCAGGACACCGAGTTCCCCGGTATCGTCGCCCGTCCGATCGGATCGTTCACAAACAAAGCAGATTATCACTACCAGACTCTACGGTGTAATGTCGACTTGCTAAAGATGATTCAGCTTGGAATCACGCTCTTCTCGCCCGAGGGTGAGGTCCCACCGCCCAACGCTACCGATGCCAGCGGGAACCCCCTTGGGAACAGCCTAGTACCTGCCCCTTGCACCTGGCAATTCAACTTCCGATTTTCGCTCGAGGATGATATGTACGCACAGGAGTCAACGGCCATGCTGGCTAAGGCAGGAATTGACTTTGCAACGCATGAGAAGAACGGTATTGATCCGTTCGAGTTTGGTGCCCTCTTGATTAGCTCCGGACTGGTGTTGCTGGACGATGTCCACTGGGTCTCTTTCCATTCCGGCTACGACTTTGGTTACCTGATGAAAATCATGCTCTGCAAGCCTCTCCCGGAGAATGAAGAGGAATTCCACGGTCTTCTCAATATCTTCTTCCCCTCGTTGTACGACATCAAGTATCTCATGAAACACGCCGGACGTAATCAGGCCGTCAATGACACCCCGCTAACCCCCGCTGCTGCTCAGATTCTCACCAACCTTGGACAAAAATCCGGGCTTCAGGATATTGCAGATGAACTTGGAGTAAAACGGGTCGGTATCGCCCACCAGGCAGGTTCTGACTCTCTCGTAACAGGAGAAATTTACTGGAAAATGCGTCAACTTGTCTTCAGTGGCACGATCGACGAGGCTAAATACTCGGGCCAGATCTGGGGATTGAACGGTCAAATGCCAGCTTTGACATACCACATGCAACCCCATCAGACTCCAAATCTCAATGGAGCAACAATATACTCGGCTGCTGGTACGCCAAGCACCCCAAATGCTGGCGCTCAAACACCTCAACATCAAGCGGTTGGTGCGCTGACTCCTGGAGCTACAGGTGGAGTCCTCGGACAATTCCAGATGGTGAAGTCATAAAGGCTGCTCGGTGTCAGCCTCTGGCTTGCTTTCTTCATTTTAGAAAAAAAAAAAAAAATTCCCCAATATAGGCTTGTTCAGCCTTACAAGGACCGTCCGACCCGATCTCTTTCTGTCACGGATTCTCCGCTGGTGCGGTTCTTTCCTGTTCGGCCTAGCAAGAAGATAAGACACGGTACGGCTTGATGGATGTACATAGCATGTGATGTCCTAATTGTTGTTCTTTTGGTTGCATTTTCCGTTTCTGTGGCGAGGTCTCTCTTGTCGGGAGTTTCTCTTTCATGGTTTTGGAGGGGTGTTTGCGAAGGGTGTATGGTGTTGTTCTTCGGCTGGAATATGATTTTGTTTTGCTCTCCGGGCGTTTTACGGCTGTCTATTTTGTTTCTCTGATATGTTCCGGCATCAATTCATTATAAATAATCGTAGGTAGAAACGGGTTGGGTTTATTCTACTCTGATGATTCGTAACCACGTTGTGACCCTCACTACGGGTACACTGCAAGGTCGGGGAGGAGTGTCGGTAACGTATTCCAATTTGTACCTGGTAGAAATTCAGATTCATGAATGGCATTTAGAAATCTGTATCTGTATCCTCAGTAGGTAATGGGGTTTCTTCTACCGTTTGGGGGAGAGCAACACGATCAAGGCCGCTAGCCCCAGATTGGCAAAGGAATCCGGGTGGACATGTTATCGCATCCTCTTCAGGTCACATTTGCTATCACCTGTGCATACATGCTGGGGCTTATAAGCCACCAACAATCCCCCCGTGAGGGATTGTATTCTTGCGATATTCTCATCGTTCATCTCTCAGCATTGTGTTGTCCCCTCCATCCCACCACACATCCATATTTAAAAAAAGAAATGGTCCTCGACCGTCTTCAGCAGTTGACCCTGCATGTTAATGCTACTTCTCCTCCTCCTCCTCATCCCTTTGACCCTCTTACAACAACGGAGATCGATGCTGCCGTTGCCCGAGTCCGCAAGGAGCATGGCAAGGTCAACTTTAATGCAGTGACTCTATATGAGCCGCGAAAGGCCGAAATGATGGCCTGGCTGGCAAATCCTGAGAAGGCTCCCCGTCCGACTCGCGCGGCCGATATCGTGGCCATTGCTCCAGGTGGTAAGATTTACGATGGGATTGTCGACCTGGACGCCAACAAGGTCATTCAATGGCAACATACTCCTGGAGTGCAGCCTCTGATTACGATGGAGGATCTGCAGGAAGTTGAGCACATCGTCCGCAAGGACCCCAAAGTTATTGAACAATGCGAAATTATTGGCATCCCCAAGGAAGAGATGCACAAAGTTTACTGTGACCGTAAGTTTGTCTAGCTCCGCGGACCTTGCCGGGATATGGAATTGCTGACATTACACTAGCCTGGACAATCGGATATGATGAGCGTTTTGGCACAGGTGTCCGCCTGCAGCAAGCTCTCATGTACTACCGGCCTCACGTCGATGATTCCCAGTACACCTTCCCCCTGGATTTCTGCCCGATTTACAACGCAGAGACCAAGGAAATCATGCACATTGATATCCCACTTGTCCGGCGTCCACTCAGCAAGGCTGCTCCTAACAACTACCACCCCGCCGCAGTTGAGAAGGACGGCGGCTATAGGACAGATATCAAGCCCATTCACATCACTCAGCCCGAGGGCGTCTCCTTCGAGGTGAACGGGCGCATTATCGACTGGCAGAACTGGAGTATCCATGTGGGTTTCAACTACCGCGAAGGGATTGTGCTCAATAACATCACCTTCAATGACAAGGGCAATGTCCGCCCAGTGTTCTACCGTCTTTCCCTTGCTGAGATGGTTGTGCCATACGGGAACCCCGAACATCCTCACCAGCGAAAGCACGCCTTCGACTTGGGAGAATATGGCGGTGGTTACATGACCAACAGCCTGTCCCTCGGCTGTGATTGCAAGGGAGCAATTCACTACATGGACGCTGCCTTTGTCAACCGTGCAGGTGCTAGCACTATTGTGAAGAATGCGATCTGTATCCACGAGGAAGACGCTGGGATCCTCTTCAAGCACACCGACTTCCGTGACGAGTCCATGATCGTCACTCGCGGCCGGAAGCTGATCATCTCCCATATCTTCACTGCGGCTAACTACGAATACTGCGTCTACTGGATCTTCCACCAGGATGGGACTGTCCAGCTTGACATCAAGCTGACTGGTATCCTGAACACCTATGCCATGAACCCCGGCGAGGACACGCACGGCTGGGGCACCGAAGTCTACCCCGGTGTCAACGCCCACAACCACCAGCATTTGTTCTGTCTCCGGATCGACTCCAACATTGACGGCCCAGACAACACCGTCTTCCAGGTCGACGCCACCCGCGGCCCGGGCGAGGTTGGAAGCGCCGAAAACAAGTACGGCAACGCTTTCTACGCCAAGAAGACCAAATGCACCACTCCTCAGGAGGCCATGTCCGACTACGACGGCTTCACCGGCCGCACCTGGGAAATGGCAAATACCAACAAGCTCAACCCATACAGCAAGAAGCCCGTCTGCTACAAGCTGGTTAGCCGCGAGGTTCCCTCTCTGCTTCCCAAGGAGGGAGGTCTAGTCTGGAAGCGAGCCGGGTTCGCCAGGCACGCTGTCCACGTCACTAAATGTACGTCTGGCCTGTATTTCAATCTCAGTCTCAATCTTAAAAAAAAAAAAAAACCCCCCTCAAAACTAACATTTTACACAATAGATTCCGACGACGAGATCCATCCCGCTGGCCGCCACGTTCCCCAAACCTCCGGCGAGCCCTCGGCAGGTCTACCGGCCTGGATCGAAGCCGCCGGCCCCAACTGCTCCATCGACAACACCGACATCGTCCTCTGGCATACCTTTGGACTCACCCACTTCCCCTCTCCGGAGGATTACCCCATTATGCCCGCAGAGCCCATGACGGTTCTGCTGCGCCCGCGCCACTTCTTCACCCGGAATCCGGTGCTAGATGTTCCTCCGAGTTTTGCCCGGACACCGTCCCAGATTGCTGCAGGCAGTGGTGTTTGCGCATGCAAGAAGGGCGACGGATCCAGTGTACTGGTTTAGATGGATCTTTTTTTTTTGTTCCCTAGCGACGAAGGAGTTTACTTTCGATGTTCATATAATTGTCGATGGGTGGACGATGGCCTTGTGTATAACGCGGCGTTTTTGATTCCAGAGTTTCTCCGATTTTCTTCGATTTTTATTATTATGAGTGTCTGTCCCATTGTACTCCGTATATGCGTGTCCTATTTAATTGTAAATGTGGATTTCGTGTATGTAGGTGGCGTGATTTATGAGTTACCCTCTATCACAGTGCAGGTATGTAAACTGATGGAGGATGCTCTGGTATATATAAATATTTTACAATAAGGGTTGAAATAGACCTAGAATAACCACACGTAATACGTTTACATTGTTGTATAGGAAGGATAGGATAGATATCCTATTCGTATATCAAACATGATGTCCTTGAAAAACAAGCATGCAATATTATATATATATACTTTATTTATATACATACACAAATTTAATGTCAAGTTAGGGCAGAAAATATATTCCTAGTGCTAGGACATAAAGCCAAATTTGTACCCTGCATACATCAACATCCGATATGGTGTAATGGTTAACATCGCCGTCTCTCACACGGCAGCTCGGGGTTCGATTCCCCGTATCGGAATTCTTTTTTTCTTTTTTTTTTTTCTTTTTCCCTTACATATGTCTATCTATCTATAACTAGTTATTTTATTATGTTCCCGTTTACTCATTGTCTATCTACCCCGTATGTCCCAGATATCAAAAGAGAGAGCCAAGTATTCTCCATAACGCCTAACTAAATCAACCGTCCCAGATACAAAGCCACAAGAACAGTGCAGATGTACTCGGGGAATCAAATCATACAACAATGACAAGAACCGCAACAACAACAACAAATCCTAAGCAGCAGCAGCAGCAGCAGCAGCCCTCTTAACCCCCTCCTCAACCTCAGCCAGCAACCCCAACAAATCCTTCGCTCCCTCCGCGACCCTCCCCTCAATATCCAACCCCCGGGTCAAAAACCCCCGGGCCTCATCCCACCTCCCCATCTCACTCAGACACTTGGCCCCCCTCCACCAACCCTTGACATTCCCCACGGGCTTCGCCTCCACACTCGCCCTCGCATCCTGCAGGCCCTCGGCCCACGCCTGCTGCGACATATAGGCCTGCGCCCGGTTCGCATACAGCCCGGCCAGCTCGTCGCGCGCCAGCGTGACCGGCTCCCACCCGGGCCGCGTCAACGCCATCTCAATCGCAAACGTGTACAGCCGCGCCGCCTCGGCGTGGTTGGATTTCCGGAACGCCGCGTTGGCGGTGTCGCGGAGCTTGCTGATCTGCGCGCTGCGCTTGGGGTTGATTGGGAGTGGGGGCGGCGGGATGTTCGGGGGGTCCAGCGAGGTGATCAGCGACCGGTGCAGTTGGTTGAGGGCTTGCAGTTCCTCGGTGACGGCGGCGGTTTGGGCCGGGGGGTAGTGTGCTGCGGCGGAGGGGGGGAGCGAGATGGCTTTGGATTGGGGGTCGAGTTCGAGGGGGTATTGGTTGTAGATGTCGATGCTTTTGGCCATTTTGGGGGCTGTGTGATGTTCTTTTTTTCAATCTTGTTATTTTTATGTGAGGAGGAGGAGGTGGTGGTGGTGGTGATATCCTGATGGATTGATTGATCTGGAGTTGTAAAAGTAGAAGACGTACTCCGTATCCGCAAGCTGTCCACTGCGCAGAGGCGGTGGCAGTACATATTGCCGGCATTACATTTTCGGTACGAATCCGCATAAAGAACAGCAAATTGACTGGATTTATCTATCTATACATTTCATGAACCGCTTGGAATCATATTTTTGGGGTTTCGAGCACAAATCGTCCAATTCATCAATAAATAACAATGCAGACATCCCCTGCGTTGAATCAACCATCCGCAGTAGGCTCCGCTCCGCCCTGGCCAGTTCCCACATCAAGAGAAAAAGCGAGGAAATAAGTAAAACATGAAGTAACAAAAAGATAGGTAGTACAGCACTGACAGGCGCCCGCAAACTCCGCTTCATAGTCGTTTCGAAGGGTCCAAAGAGGGAAATTCTCCAGCGGAGAAATCGTTCTTTAGCGACCGTAGCCGCTGACAGTCGAGTCGTATTCGGACGGCGCGGCGTAGTGCTGTCCATGAGCACCCCCGTAGCCGGTGCTGTTGTAGTCGTGCAGCACAGATCCACTTGAAACTGTAGGGTCGTAGGAGTCATGCATCGCAGAGCGTCCGTTAGGGTTTCCAAGGTCATCCATTTCGCTTTGATGCAGCAGGGCGTAGTCTTCGTCGCCGTCTCGCACCGAAGATCCCATCCCCGAGCGTCCGGAGCGGAATTCATCCTCCTCGTCGAATTCTTGTCCAGGGTTCGAGGAGAAGGCGGCTTTGCTCTGGGCGGCGAAAGTTGGGTCGGAGACAGCATCAGGCAGGGTCCCGGTCCGGCGGAAGTGCATGACGTTGCGGAAGGACATGAATGAGGTTACGATAAACAGGACGCTGGAAACCAAGTATAGTTAGTTAGCAGGCAGTTGGACATCAAAAGTGAATCGCAACCCGGGCACGGCACTGACAAGATAACCACGCCTAAAATAACGGTCGCCGTGCTGATGTTGCATCGGCTGGCGCTGCCGTACTTCCAGTTATCGCAACCGCTCTTCTTACTATCCTTGCTGTCGCTGTCACTTTTGCCCTCGCTCTTGCCCTGGGCGACATAGCTGGCGACAGCAACCCAGGCGCTGAACCACAAGATCGTGTAAAGGCAGTCGACGGTCGCAAAAGCGTAGACGTTCCCGAATCGGCGGGCGCGCGGCCACATGGGCACGGCGACCAGATAAACGAGAGCGGGAATGGTGAGCCAGCACTGTAGAGGGCAGGCAGGTTAGTATCAATGCAGACCTTAAGACTCCTTTGGAAAACTAACCAAGCCAAAGTACCATCCTGATCGTCCATCAATACCGCCACTCTTTGTGAAGACAGCGATGGTCAGAGCCCATGCGAGGAATATGATAAACGCTTGGAGTCCGTGAATAGCATTCTTTGTGCGTCCGGGGTTGAATGACGGTCGCCTCATCCTGCAAGACAATTCCGAGAATTTGCTGGAGAGAAAAAGCGAGTTGCGACAGGGTCGGATGATCAGCACGCCAGGAATGAATGGCCAAAGATACCGTCGGGGGACTTGGGCTGGGCCGCGAAGAATGAAATGGGTGAAAAATGGGTGGACAGCAATTGTTTATGATGATACTTTAGTGAACTTGAAGAGGCTGACAAAGTGGTGGAACGGGGCAACGACCCGATCTCAGCCGCGTAGACACGAAAAGTAGGTAAAAGGAGAACTTTTGATCTCAGCAACCAGATGGTGGCAATTGGGAAGAGAAGGAAATACTGCGTACGTAGGGATGAAAAGGAATTTGAGAAGATGAAACAGGAGGAGATGAGGTGGTGATGACTTGAATGTGGCTCATCCTCACAGCTCGTTAGGTAGGATATCCATAAATAGCAGCACGAGTGAGCAGCCACTTTATATATATATATATATATATATAAATATATGGATACATGCTACTTGGTATATTTTTTTGTCAATTTACAGATACTAGTATAAAATAGTGTACAATTGCCCTAGTCAACGTTGTATACGGAGGATTTATAGGAGATTCGTTCTAGGACATCAATATGGATACATGAGCATGAAACATTCTTTTCATCCGAGAATCAGGATTTCTCCATAAAAGGCGTACTCCTCGAATTCATTATCAAATCCAACTCCCTCAGCGGTTGGTAAATATGAGCATGCCACCACCATGGGAATGGGTCGGAGAGGGAGAATCGCCAGTTTTCCCAACAGAAGGCAAGCTTAATTGCCTCGTCAATTACATAGTCGACTCGCTGGGCAGCAAGAGACATCATCGATGGAAGGGTCTTTTGAATCTCGTATCGCCGGACAAGCTGGTAAAGACGGGGTCGAGAAAGGCGCCTGTACAGGAGGCTCCTGGGGCGAGCATGGGATGATGGGCTGAGGGAGGCTTTTGGCATCCCCCCGTTTTCCGAGGACAGAATCGCGAGATATCCAGCTACTAGAGCGGCAGGGGGAGAGTCCTGCAAAAGATGACTGGCGGCCGTTGCCCCTTGCGTACAGCCTGCGATGTGGACGATATACCGGACGGAATTCACCTCGAGCTCTTCGTCCACCATGAGTCGGACGCAGAAATGTCCAGTCATCTGGGGTCCGGCTCTCGATGCGAACCGTTCCATGAGGTTGTGAATTGCCATCGCTAACCCTCTATGCAAAGGAGAGTCCCCCCAGTCTGATGCCCTGTTTGCTGGACAGATTTTCACAGCGCTGAGCTGCCCGCGGACGACCAAGAGCGCGGCCAGAAACTCCCCCATGCGGGCATGCTGCTGCAGGAGCCAAGGGGTGTCCTGGGAGATTTGGATTTCGCTGACTTCCGAATAAGTCAAGCTGAGGGTTCTCTTGGGCAGAACAATGACCCTAGGGTCGGACACGGTCGAGGGACCTTGGTGCATATGGTATACTTTCGTAGGCGATCGGTGTAAAATCCTATGGATAGAATCGCGCGAGTGAACCTGGTGGCTCTCGACGACCGGGAGATCCTTCCCGACCAGATATTGAACAAACGACTCCGGTCGAGCCCATTCACTCGAAATCTCTGGATCCAAAGTGATGCATTTGCAGCGGGTTCTGCTCTCGATCGCCTGCTTGGCCAACGCATCGTCGAACACCGACGTGCCACTCGAGCAAGGAACCCAGATATCCACTTTCTCCCTCTGAATAATATCCAGCAGCCTCGACACGTATTGCGGTTTCGGGATGCAGTAATAGGCCGCCAGGGACCGTGACTTGCTCGGCCCCGACGCGAGCCTCGAAACGCCAACATCCGCCCCGACCACGCGATGTCCTTCATGATACCAGGATCTCGCTACATTCAGGCCAGCCGGCGTATCAACCCCCGTCACCAGGACCGTCTTGGGATAAAACCGGACATCCTCGAGCACATCCTGGCGTCGACGGACCGACCCCGAGGAAAGACGTCCGAGGACGACAACCACCAGAAAGATGGCATTATCCAGCGGCAAGAGAAATAACGAGATGGCAATCCGACATAAAGGGAAGAACACTCGAGCTTGGAATAAGCGCCGAAGAAACCGGAGAGGTTCACTCCCCGGCATCGATCCGAACGATGGTCGCATCCCGAGCGCGGACATGATTACCGGCAACGTTGCAGGAACCTCGGAAGTTAAAAAAGAAGAAGAAGAAGAGGAGCAAAGGGGAGATCATCCTGTTCTTCTTATTATTAGGAAGGAACTTGAAGTGTTCGCTGGCATGTACGTGTCTGTGTGTCTGCGTGTGTGGTGCAATCCAGCCCCTCTGGAATGAGACCCGCACGTCAGCGTGCATAAGAAGACCAGCCCAAGGCTCGGGTTGGGAGAAGCAAGCTAGAAGTCTTGAAGCTGAAGTCTTGAAGCTGAAGTCTCACTCTAGAATGGGGTCGAATGAATGGAGGAGTTAAGTCTATACAGAGTACTCGGTAGTTAGGGATTCTTCCCCGTTGTTACCCCGAACCAAGGAACTTCTGAGAGATAGTTGGCTTGGTGTTAATGAAGTAAAGAATCTTCTGTTTGGACTGTAGAATTAATGTATATATATTCTGTACTGCGAGATATAGATGGTGGTTATGTAGGATCGTGATCTTGTAACCAAATCCTATGTACATACATTTTCCCAACTTCAGCGTCAACCACAAGATACAACATAATAATATCAAAGAAGAAAGAGAGAAAACACTCTCCACATTCATCAACTCTCATTCCTCATTCGCTCGATCGATTTTAAAGGATCGCGCCATCCGAAGCGGAGCCTGTTAGAAATCAACCGTCCTGACAATCTCTTCTTCTTCTTGTCTACATCCACTGCGGAGGAGAGGTTCACCCTCTCTCCCTTGATTTTATATTCCTCATTTGAAACCGTGTTCTTTACTTTTCTCGCTTTCCAGAGTTATATCCCTCTTTTATTTTATTTTATTTTTTTTATTCACACAATGGACTCTGCAAAGGTTCCGCTATCGGCGACTCTTCCGCCGCTGATAATGGGTACAGCCACTTTCAACTCCCAGTACAACGAAGACCCCTTCGCTCTCCCCACCACGGACCTGGTCCATCGCGCGTTCGCCAGCGGAGTTCGCGCCTTTGATACCTCTCCGTACTACGGTCCTGCCGAGGAACTGCTGGGTCGTGCGCTCGCCACCGACTACGTGCAGTCGAATTTCCCGCGACACACCTACCACCTGCTCACCAAAGTGGGCCGAATTGCCTCGGCATCCTTCGACTACTCCGCGGAATGGGTGAGGACGAGCGTGGAGCGCAGTCTGGGCCGTCTCCGGACCGAATATCTGGACGTGGTCTACTGCCACGATGTCGAGTTCGTCCCCCCCGCCGCAGTCCTGGAGGCCGTTCGCGAATTGCGCCGCATCAGGGACACCGCGGGCACAATCCGCTACGTGGGGATCTCGGGCTACCCCGTTGATGTCCTCTGCGAGCTCGCGGAGATGATTCTCCGCGAGACAGGCGAGCCAGTGGACGCGGTCATGTCCTACGCGAATTTCACGCTGCAGAACACCCGGCTGCTGACCCGGGGCTTGCCGCGGCTGCTCGCGGCCGGGGTGGACGTGGTCCCGAATGCCTCGCCGCTGGGGATGGGCTTGCTCAGGAAGCAGGGCGTGCCGATTGGGAGCATGGGCGATTTCCACCCGGCGCCCGACGGTCTGCGCCGCCGCATCCACACCGCTGCGGAATGGGCCGACTCGCAGGGTGAAAAGCTCGAAGTCATTGCGATTCGCTTCGCGCTGGAGTCCTGGCTCCGGCAGGGGTCCCGGGCGGGCGCGTTAGGTCCGCCTCTGGCGCGTGGCCCCGATGCCGACCCGGGGCTTCTGTCCGTGGCGACCATCGGCACTGGAGAAAGACTCGGGGTCAGTGTTATGGGCGTGAGCAACGTCGCCGAGCTGAATGAGACCCTGCGCGTCTGGCACAGTATTCTCGACGGACTCGAGGTCGAGAACTATCCCGATGATGAACAACCCCCTATCGAGGAGAAGCATGCTGCTGCCCCCCCACCGGTCATTCCCTCCGCCCCGGCTATTATCCTGACCCCCTCGGATGGCATGATCACAGATCATGTGTGGTCCCATAACCGACGCAGTCGCATTGTCTCCCTCGCCCAGCAGATCCAGTCTATCCTTGGGCCCGACTGGGTCGATTACGCCTGGCCGAGCCCAGGCCCCGACTTTGTGAATACTCTTCCCGCAGATCGTGTCGCTAAGGGTGATCAACCCGCCGCCACAGACACAGCCAAAGATACCCAACCCGCTTCTACGACTGAAGACGCTATGATTACACCTCCTCTAGAGGCGCTGGACACAAAGATACCCACCAACACTGTTGTTGTACCCTTGGATACCCCACTGTGAATACTAGTATGGTATACTATTATATTATGCATGCATGCCCATACATGTACGTACGTACATACATACCTTGTCTGACAATGACCACGACGACGACGATGACGATGACAATGTCCTGATGATGACTGCATCACATAATGTTGCTTATGTGCACATAACCAACTACGGAGAACTTGAATTGAATTACTTTAGCTATTCAAGCATCAAGAAAAATGCCCCCCTTTAGAGATATTAGACGGTATAATACACTTGAAAAATGAATAAACCGCCCACGTGGCTTAAAAAAAACTCAATACTACTAGAAATCCTCCAAGAATTATATACCTCTTCTTTTCTGCTCTCACTCTCAAAATTGTTTTTTTTTTTTTTTTTTTTTTTTTTTAGCTTGGCCCTGTTTTCACCCGAGGAGTTGATGGTGGATGATGAACAGTAATAACAATTAACTATACATTGGACGCATGGTCCATCTATCATTGTAGTCGTATGCTATAGATCTATACTATAACTTCTCTTTAGAGGTCGCGTACAAGTCGTGCACCGGCCCAAGTGTAAGGATAGTTTCGCTGATACCAGTTAATGCTAAGGTGAGGTTAGCATGTCGCTATTCAAAACCTCTTAATAGCGAGGAGATCTTACAAAGTTGTCCTCCCGGCAATCCGAGGGTGTGTTGCCCAAGAACCGCCGAGCGTGATGTTATGTTTTCCGTCAAAGAAATCGGCTGCAGTGTGTCAGTGACCGTTGTATACTTTAAGAGGCAAAAGAAAAACTTACAGGTATATCCGGGATAAGTTTCCATGGCTTCGAAACCATCATGTTTTGCTAGCGGCGTGCTCGTCCATTCCCAGACTCCTCCAAATTCACCTTGACCGGTAAGTTTGTCTCCGTTCTGGATAACGGGAGTCGGGTGCCAGTGTTTGAACCCAACGTTGCAGTCTGAGAGATCCATGAATACTGGAGAAGAGGAGGCAATGGGTGGTAAAACCGGTTGATTGCCATTGGCGTGTGTCTTGGCCGGGCTCTTCAAATCTTCATTTTCCCCCGGCTTATCATGCTCTCCATTCGTCTCGTGGCTGCTGTACAAACGGGGGTTAGTAATGCACGAAGATACGCACGGCTCAGGAGACAAACCCAGAGCCATTCAGATCTCCATCCTGTATGGTCTTCTTTAATCGAGCCGAATGAGCATATATGCTTTTGACCTCGGCGAAAGTCGGCAGCCTGCAGTTCGTCCACTTGGCGTATTGAGCTAGCTCGTCATAAGATGCAAGGACAGGCCAGTCCTGGGCAAGACTAAGTGGTACAGGACCAAAAACGGTACGGACGGCAAAGTTGGCCAGAAAATCCTTCGTGGTATGGCAGCCGCATCTTGAAACTTCACTAACAGTAGCCTTGTTTGTTTCTGGATTCATCTGGACCCAAGATGCAGGCCCACGGCGTATCCCATTGGCTTGCAAGTACTCAGCAAATTCTCCATTTGTGATCGGACGACCTTGTGCCTCGAATGCTTGGACGCTTATATTTCTCGTCGGCTTCTCGTTATCCCACCCAAAAGACGTCTCTGGGAGCGAGTCGCTCGGGCAGTCGAGGCCGATAGATAGTGTCTGCTCCGGGATAGTGAACCATTCGTTTGCCTTCTCCTTTTGTCTAGCGTCATGGAATAGCTTTTCAAAATCGGGAACAGGAACCCCAGGGGGCGGGAGAATCTTTTCACTCTGGATCAGCATGTAAAGGAAAGTTTCTAAATGCATAGCTTCATGTTCAAAACCAATCCAAATGGCTTCACCCAAATTTTGGTCTTGGGATAAATCTGGCGTTTCTAGAATAGACCGCACTCTATTTCTGACACGTTCTTCATAACCCAAAATCTCGGAGCGAAGTGGCCATTCGTTAGGAATCTCACTGTGAGAATGACACTTCTCAGGATCATCAACGTCTGGGTCGATGCCCCGTTCAAAGATTTGCTGATATGATTTTGGCTCTGTGGGTTTGCCACCCGAGGCTCGAGTTAAATGAATATCTATTTGCTTCAATCAGTAAGGAATCTAAATCGAGTAAAATGTTGTGGGTGAGAACTGAGTTACGTACCTGAGAAGGTAGGAATGTGCCCTAAATAGAAAATCAAAGCATTTCTAAGTTTAATCGGTTTTGAAAGAAGTTCTTCCTGCGAAACCATGGCCTTGGTGACTATGTCCCAAGCAGTCCACATAGACTGAAATTCTTTCAAGCTAGGAATAGGATGTGCGGCGTACTCGGAGGGTGAAGTCGGAAAGTCTAGTGCGGCTGGGTATAATAAATGGATATCTAAGGCAAAAAAGGTTCCTAGTCAGTAAATCGAAAAAGGAATCCGCTGGTAAAAGACATACGGTATTCTTCAGAACTATTGCCAAACTCCGCGGCTTCAATGAAACCTGCGTCGCGCCACAGGTTTTTACGTGCAGTGGCACCGTGTTTGAATGCCTCTTCAAAGATTAACTTTTCACCTTTGGGAATAACAACATGGTCAATAGTTACGTCCTTCTTCGAAGCATAAAATGCTTGGTGTGTTCCCTGGACGGCGTCGTATTTGGTAACAACTTCCCACTCATTCGGCTTGAAAGCCTCATACCCGAAGATGGTGTTGGCATGAGCCAACCCATTTTGGTAAAACTTTTGAGTAATACCCTCCGAGTCATTGTAGGCGTTGTATACTTTGACTGAATCCTCGCAGGCATCTAAACCCACCACCATCATATCTGATGGATCCAGAAGTCTAGAGTATCGAGCAAGAAACTCTGCCGCATCTGATGGACTAAAATTTCCCAAGGATGAGCCCAATGACAAAACCACAGTTGGCCGCTGCCTATTCTCAGAGTTTCCAAGCCAGGAGATTGCATCGTCGTATGTCCCATGGAGGCCGTGGAAACCGACATGCTTGTAGCTTTCTAAGCAAACATTGGAGAAGGTACGCTGCAGTTCAGAGAGTGAGAGATCCAAGGCGTAGTAATCTACCCGTTTGCCAACGCGCTCAAATTCCTGGAGTAGGATTTCAATCTTCCGAAGGTTCCTGCACACAGAGTTAGTTTCGCCACCGATCCGTCTAGCTGCTCAATGAGCAGAACCGAGGTGACGAACCCACTCCCAAGCTCCAGAAGCTGTGCATTGCTGGGAATCCTTTCAACGAGCCCCCGCGAATGTGTTTCTAGCACCTCGATTTCAGCGTTGGTCAGGTAATATTCGTCCAGGTACGTGATTTTCTCAAAAAGCTTCAATCCCTCCGTATCGTATAGCAGCATTGTCGGCAAAGACCGCCTCGTTCCATCTGGGGGATTGATGCCTCTCCGAATCTCATTGACTAATGAATACTCTACGTCATTCTGACGGATGTCGACGATTCCGACATTCTTAGGTGAGACTGCCAAAGGACTCATCTTTGCGGTATTGGAAGGTTAGAGAAAAGGGGGGAAAAGAAAGAAAGACGTGAAAAAGATATAGCTAATATGGATTAATTATAGTTCGAGAACCGGGGCAAAAGACCCCTTTATATAGGAAACGCAAGTGATACAGTTTCCGTGAAGGAAAGAGGGGTAGGTGAGGAGATCTGCCAATGGAGCATGGCAGTGAAGATGAGAAATCTAAATTGATAGGTTGCTTTGAAATAAGCAGTGCCAGGGGGGAAAGAGGCCTGAGTGAGGAAAACGGGAAAAAGGGCTAAAAAGAAAGCAGGAACCAGCGCGGGCACGCGCGGCAGTGTAGAAATAACGAGGTTGTTGAGGTATCATATGCTCCGAGAGTTGTGGGAATTCTCGACATAGGGCGACCCATAAGCTGCAAGAACAAACATTCCACGTCCCCGGAAGAGGATTTAGATTGGACGAGAATCAGATCTGTCGAATTAAGGATGACATCAGGAGGTCTCGCTTAATTTGCATGTCAAATCGAAATGTCAAAAGAAATGCATGTTGAGAGCTCTAGAGTCAGAGCCATGCAACCTGTACAGGCTTTAGTAGAAGGGGGCGGACCACGGACTGGCCCCATAGCTCTGCTCTGCCCACAATTGCGCAGTGCTAGTCCAATGAAGCTCTAGCGTGGGATAAAAATGACGCGCGCCAGGATCGAATCCCAGGGTCGCTCCCCCACTTTGCTGGATGAGAGACTCGAGAGTGAGTGAGGGAGGAACTCCAGTTTCTGTTGCTGACTTGCAACTTCCTTTCGGAGGTTGCGGTTGGATGCAGGTGACGTGTGGTTTGCACCATTTGCAGCTGTTTGCAGCTGTTTGCGGTCTTTGTCTGTGTTTAGCTGGCTTTGCACTGTTTGTTTAGCCCACCTGATTTGATATCACTGGATCTGCTGCTTGTGTTTTGCTCCACTGCGGAAATCAGACCCTCCACCATCAAGGGCACTTATTTCTCACCATTTGCATCTTTGGGCAGACGACAAGGTGTACATGCGCACTATCTATGGAGCCATCTTAATTTACCAGCATCGAACTTGAACTCTCTGAGTCATACGATGGGATACTCACAGTGGTTACCTATTCCCCGAGAAACACACGAAGCGAAAGGAAGGACCTGGAAACCAAGATTGGTCCTGCATACTGAATTTCAAGGCTGGGGATATCTAAACCGACCTCCGCTTGAGGCATACGTATTATTGACCGGTGTCGAGAGGTAAAGTTGAGTGAGCGCTTAAGCTCTTGCAAGATTCTTGGCCCGGGATGTCCTGATATTTATACCCGACAATCAACCGAAAGTACTCCTTATCTGCTGACATGAACATGGACTGACCATGCATGAGATTCAGAACAATATAACCTCCGATAGGGTTCGCATAGCAAACAGTTGTGGGCTCCCTTTACCTTTCTGGGCACCCGTGGTGTCAAAATACGGTAGCTTCAAGATACAAAACCTATCCCATCAGAATTTATGAACACATGATGACACCGATAGAAGACCGGGTACTCTGAAGAACTTGGTGAAAGGAATCGTCAGTGGTGGCTGGACGGATACTACATGTGGTGTTATGAGAAGTTGACAGCGTATCAAATCACTATATCTGGCATATCTACCCGGGGTAGTGGACTTCATTGACCATGCCATATAGTCTCTGGTCGATGCTATGATTCCAACAGTTCCAACAGTTCCACCTTTGCAGCGCACCTATACTGGATTGAATAGGCGAGCTTTCATGCGAAAAAGTTAAGCCTAAATCAAGGCAATTGGGAAAAGTGGCCGAAATCATGATGGGGACGTAAGTAAGGACGTAGAACAGGGAAATGTTAGGAATACCCTTGACGAAGCCCTATATAATGAAAGGATCTCCTGTAGCAAGACTTGACAGCCACTAACCCCTTGTATTGGGGCCAATATCACCCATACTATTGGTTCTAATTAGCGCCATGATCCTAGATATTTCACTATTGTTACTATAGTATAGTATACCTCTCTTGTCTTCAAGCTTAACACTGAGAGCAGACTACTGAACATGGGGCCAGGGTAGGGAATAACAAAACAAAGACATTCTATAGATATATCACATGGCTTTGTTAGGGTTTTTTTTTTATATTGTATATACTTCAATGAAATTCTAGACCAGCCATACAAAGCATAGTCCCAAGGCTCATTGTTCCCAGAATGAATTGATTCAATCTTGATTGAGATTGTCTCGGAAGTCTCCGCCATCATTCTTCTTTGTTTGTTGCCTATATAAGATAAAGGTTCCCTGCTCTGTTTATAGCTTCATCAACCACACACACACACACACACACACACACACACACAATATCCAAACATGCAAGATTCTCCAGGAAAGCCACGGTCCGCATCCGCATCCACCTTCCCACCCCAAGAATACAGCTCCGAAGACTCCGCCCCTTCATCCCCAGATCCACTCGAGATGACCCTCCGCCAGCTCCGTTCCCGGTCCAAAAACCCTAAAGACGCCAACACCGAAGAAGAAGAGGAAGAGGAAGAGGAAGAAGGAGAAGGAGGAGGAGGAGAAAAGGAAGACTACAGCTATCTCGAACAAAAAGGCTACCACAACTTCGCGCCAGGCCCGTACATGAACGCAGCCGCCCACCGGCCAAACTACACGATTATGAAGCGCCCCCCCGTGAACCCCGTCCTCGCCTCCGTCCAAGAATACATGGCCAAGTCCAAGCCCCTGGAATACACACTGGCTAAATCGGAGGTGTCGCTCAATAAGCTCGAAGCCCTCATTGACCTGTCCAAGACCTCGGGGCTGATCGAGCGCGGAGAGGAAGAGGACGCGGCGGAGTGTGTGCGGCGCGCGATGACGATTGCGAATACGTTAGACGCCAGGGCGCTTGTCATGAGGTGTGAGAAATGGCTTGCGAAGTTCCGGGAGGTGAGGGCAGATCCGCAGTTGTATGCGCAGTGGTCTTCGGGGTTTGGGATGGGTGGGTTCTTTGGTGGGTACGCGAGGAGGACTGGTGTCAATGCAAATGCAAATGCAAATGCAAAACCAAGTGCCAGTGCCAGTGCCAGTGCCAGTGACAATGCCAACGCCAAGTGGCTTTTCCAGGGTTATGTGTCTGAGGCTGGGTCTGGATCGGACTTTGATGAGAAAGCCCAGGTCAAGGCTCAGGCGAAGGGTAGAGATATGAAGGGGAATACAAAAGCAAAGCAAAAGAATCTTTGCTACTATGTCTCTAAAGGGACGCAGACCTCGCCACTTGCTTCTCCCGGTCTGGGCTGCGCGAAACCAACTGAAAAACGCATATGGCCCCAGAACTCGAGTTCCGGTGTCTCATACCGAGTCTCGACGCGGACTCCGCTTAGCAAGGGATCCAAAGGTAGAAACAGAACCCGGGGTAATCCACTCCGACGATTTCCCGCGCGTCCTAAGCCCTGGCTTGTACAAGATATGGAAGATGTGGCTATTGCCACCGGGCACCGGAAAGGCTCATTTATACTCGAAGAGATGGAAGCAGAACAGGACTCGCCCTTCGGTCCGGAACAGAGGGAGTTTACCTTCGCCATGGATGTCACCGAAAGGGCATCGCGTGTGCGCAAAACGGATATCTTCCCTCAGCAGAGCTGGGAGTTTATTGCGGATCCAGGGCAGTGGGACTGGTTCAAAGCGAAGATGAAGAATGAGCCTGTTACGCTGGAGTTTTTGGAGTGGGAGAGGGAGAGGATGATTGTTTTGGTCGAACAGAGATTGTGGATGGATGGTGATGATGAGATGTTTTAGTTCTTGTTTGCCTAGCTAGTTCTTTAGCATTCGGTTTCAGTTTGTATTATTGAAATCGGTATATTTATACACAATCCATCATGGGATATAGGTTGATCAGAACCACTTAGCAAAAATCAATATCCAAGACGGACACGCCCCAAACCCAGCTTGCAACTCCCATAGCTCCTACACTCATAATAAACGCCATCAACAAGTTTACGGCATTGTTATCCAAAATATCAAATCCACTTTCTACACGGCGACTCTCATGAAGCGCATCATTTTGCGTCCCTGTGGTTGTCCCTGCCGATGACCCTGTTCCTTTAGGACCCTTGGGTGCGGCTGCATTAGCTACGGCTTCGGAACTGCGGAGATGGGAGTCACCGGTCGCATCAGAAGAGAACCCAGATGCATCCGCCGTGCTTCCGAGTTTAGTGGATGAGGGATGAATAAGGACCTGTGCAGCATTTATTCGTAAGACAAAAAAAAAAAAAAAGAATTCAAGCCGAGTCGAGTACAGGAGCATACCTTCTGTCCACCCGTTCCCTCAATAATCTTTCCCGTCCTCTTATCAACAACACTAGCCTGAAGCATCCCTCCTAGTACACTATCCAATACACTCCCCAGAGCTCCGCACACAGTCACGGCAAGAATCCATTGAACGCGCTCCTGCAGTGTACCTGATGTGCCATTATGCCCACCACAGAAGGGAATAAGAACAGCAGAGGTGAGGCCAATTGTGAACGCGCCAAAGACTCCAGCCAGCAGCCCCGTCCCGGTAACGCCGCCATTTGTACCCGGAGGAACGGCACGAAGGGAAAGAGAGGTGATAAGACGCGGGTTCGATTTAGATAGGATTCCGAGTTCAGAGGAGAATGTATCGGCTGCGACGGCAGCGTAGTTACTATCGGCAGAATCGTTAGTCCCGGACAATCAATTTTACTTTGGTCACAAGGAGACGCACGCTACAATCCCGACCACGAGCAAATCTGCGGCAGAATGGCCATTCGAGAAACACTTGTTCGTCTCCTTGTTTTTCCAGAGCACCCAAGTGTGCAAAAGGATGAGTATGGTCGCTACGACTGAATTGGCCAGAACCTGGACGTGGGTTCTTGAGCCCTCACCGCCGTGAGAGCCGGTTGCTGAGAGGGTGAGACGAGCTTTAATATCGTGTTTAACCTATCCAATGTTACAAGAATTAGCTGGGGCCAAGTAGAGAAAACGGAAGGCAGGCGACGCACCTTTGTAGCTCTCGTTCCACCCAGATAAAATACCATTAACAGAAATAACGGAGCCGACCAGGGGTGAAGACCATGTGCGCTTGCAGTCAGAGCCGCCACGACGCATCCAAATGGCGTAAGCGACTTTCTCGACCACGCGCGGTGGACGAGCCCCACGATAATCGGGACGGCGATGTAGGGCTTCATTGGAAGTGTCAAGCATCGACTAGGGAGCCTGCCTATGATGATTCAGGAGTATCTGGAGCGAAATGCACGATGGGATCCCAGCATGATGGCGGGGGGTCCGGGGTGGTTGACGAAGGAAAGAGAGAGAGATGAAGCTACAGCTTGGCTTTTGGCCATCACTGGATCCGGTTAGCCTGAGGCACTGTGCCTCCACGCTTCGTCCTTTTTCTTCTACAAACATGTACTCCGGATATATTATGCTAGTGTGGGATATATACAGATCTGATCTTCAATGTACGTAGTAACTACTATGTACATATATCTGACGGACGTTGGGCCTGAAGTCAGAATGAATAGAGACACTCGGGCTCCGGGTTAACTCCGGGAGAAGCTGCCTGAGGCCGAACCCTAGTATAAAAGGTTGGAAATCCCCTCCATCTTAACCGGAGGAGGAGTGTTGATCCAGGTTGAATGAATCAATTCAGTCTCCTCTGTCTTTTTATTTCCTTCCTAGTCTCGTGGATCTCTCACACTTCAGCCCAGCATGACTTCCAAAGCAACCCTTCTAAGGAAAGGCACGGTCCTTTACCACGACGATGACGACAAAGTGACCCCTCTCAAGAACACTGATATCCTCATCGAAGGAGACTCAATCACCAAGATCGGTGTGAACCTCGAAGCCCCCTCCGGTGCAGAAATCGTCGATTGCACCGACAAGATCATCAGCCCGGGATTCATCGACACCCATCACCACCTGTGGCAGACCCAGCTCAAGGGCTGTCATAGTGAGGATTCTCTCTTGGACTATTTCCCCCATGGTAAGCGAACTCTGCTATTCCTTTGAACCGGCGCTTAGTTACTAACAAGCTAGGCTTGCTGCCATCCCACTTCTATGACCCCGAGGATACCTACTGGGGTCAATTGACAGGAGCTTTAGAGGCCATTAACTCCGGAACAACCTTTGTCTTGGACCATGCTCATGGCTGCAAGACCAAAGAACATGGTAGGTACCCATCCCACCTTACCGTGCCATGGAAAGCTCCCCCCCTCCCCCCACCCTGACAATGTATCCCTCTAGTCCGCCAAGCACTCTCTGCTTGTTCTGCCTCCGGAATCCGAGCGGTCTTTGCATACGCAACCGCGCTACGCCTAGAAAAATGGGACACCGAATGCTGTGTGCCGTCCCAGGAGAGCCAACTAGAGGAAAGCATCCAGGACGCAATCGAGCTTGCAGCAGGACACCCACTCGGCGAGGGCCGGATCCAAATCGGCTACGGGTTCGACGCATACTACCTGCCCAAGGAGGTGGTCATTAGCGTTTTCACCCGTCTCCGCGCCGCAGGCGTAAAGCTGATAACGAGCCATGTAGTGAAATCTGCTCTATTCGGTAAACCCCCCCCAGCATTTCCCTTCTTCTTCTTCTTCTTCTTCTTCTTCTTCTTCTTCCTCTCTCTCAAATAAACACTAACATAAAGGGGGGGTAAAAAAAAATCCAGGTTCAAACTCAATCATAACAACCCTTTCCAATTACGGCCTACTAACACCCGACCTCGTCCTCTCGCACTGCATCACCATAAGCGAACCCGAAAAACAACTGCTAAGAAACACCCAGGTGCCCGTCTCCGCCACCCCGGAAACCGAATCCCGAATGGCAATGGGGTGGCCGTTATCCTTCGCCGCAGGGATAAACTACACGTTTGGCGTCGATTGCCACAGCAGCAACAGCGCGTCGCTGATCCAAATGTGCCGGCTGGGGATTTCAATGGCCCGCCAGGAGCGCTTCCTCCCGCTGATCAGCGACGGGAAATTTCCGAGCCGCGTGCCGCCGTCCGGGGCTGTTGCGGAGGGGTTTCGCGCGATGACGATCGGCGGGGCGCGGGCTGTGGGGTTGGGCGAGCAGATTGGGTCGCTGCGGGAAGGGAAACGGGCTGATCTGGTGGTGTTTGATGCGGCCAGCGTGAATATGGCGGGGGTGGCGGAGTTTGATCCGGTGGTTGCTGTCGTGAATCATAGTGAAGGGGCGGATATCCTTTCCGTGATGATTGATGGGAAGTGGAGGAAGAGGGATGGGAAGTTGGTTCCCGTTCCCGTTCCGGGTCCGGTTCAGGTTCCTGGGCAGGTCGAGGGCCAGAGCCAGACGTGGGAACAAGTGAGGGAAGAATTTTTGGAGAGCCAGAGGAAAATCCGCAGGCTGGAGCAAGGTGTGAGTATGGAAAGGGCTCGGGAGATGGTGATGCAGATTTTCCACGCAGATCAGTCTGTTCTTGTTGATGTGGTTTAAGCTGTACTCTGTAGGGGAAGTTTACCGATCTAGGAGGAAAGACAAATTGGGACATACAGAAGCATGAGAAGAAATAGTATGTAATAGATTGATAACAGATTGATTGTAGTTTTGTATGTATGAACAGGTACACCTCCCCAAGCAAAGTCATTCTAGACCAACCTAGTATATCCATGATTTCCAAAGCCCAGACGTACCTTTTCTACGCTCATGTCCTGTCGGTTGGAAAAAGGGCGAGGCGGGTAGTAGTTAATTTATGACTAGATCAGTATCATGAGTCCGGATAAACAGCGTAAAGGGGAGCCCCGTTCGCCAATGTTACTATTAAAGCAAGGTGCAGGTAATACAGAGTAGTTATGTGGTTAATAGGTCTTCTAGCGTGGTAACCAAGTAGCACACAGGAGTTCGTCTGCCAAAATCTAATATCGTATCCCCTCGGGATCGCCGTCATCCCCACTCCAATACCCCAGATCAATTGCCCAATCCGCATACCCCGCAAAATTTAAGCTCTTATAGTACGCGATCCGATTAGCTTTCGTAACCTTGTCCATATAGGAGACCCACTGAGTATCATTGTACACCAAAATGTTCGAGTCGGATCCTGGATCGTAGAAAGACTCATTGATCTCAGAGTCATTAATAAGGTCTTCAATCTCTGCGTTAGCGAGGACCCCGGGCGTCCGTGTGCATATCCCCGGCTTTGCAGTAGACTTTGGGCCCTCAAACCGACACTCTGGCTTAACGCATCCGACTTCACTCATGCCAAAAGACCGTCCATAGCTAGATATGCCCACAGTTATCATGTTGCTCGGAACCCCGGCTTTCGTAACTGTAAAGATCAGCAAGTAAATTATTATCTGATATGGTATATATATATATACTCATGGCGAGGGCGTATTCCGTTTCGGTAAGATTCACTGCTTTATTAGAAATGCCAACTATAGGTACTGGGGTCCTTACCATGACTTCGTAGACAATTTCCTGTCTTGCAATAATCTTGAGCCAAGTAGTAATTGTAATCCCATTGCCCTGTATCTCCGATCTGAATTAGTGTTCATCTAGCTTGCAAATATTTTAAAAAGATATTACCGTGGAGGTCGTATGTCATGTATACAATGTAACTCAGGTGTCGAGACATCGCTTTGATTGGGAACACTTTCAGGTTCCAGAAACAGGCAGGAGCAGCTATAGAGACGCTTTTTTTCCGGGGGAAAACTCCCCAGAGCTTTTCAAGAAACGCAAGATAGTTCGGGCCGTCCGACTCGGAGCCTAGGTGGACGGTCGGGATGCTAGAGAGCTAGTGATTGTTAGCTAGTCCCTTCCATCAGGAAGAGAAAGCGAAAAGAACGTACTCCCGGATATTCCCAATCAAAATCAACTCCATCAAGGCCATTGTCTTCAACAAACTCTAAGATATTCCCGATGAATGTGTCTACATTCTTCGGGTTCATGGCATCGCGAAGTCCATCGTAGCTTCCGGAGTTGAGAGAATATCCCCAGCCGCCAAACGAAAGGATCCTTTTCACATTTTTTAGCGCTAGAAAGCCTTCCCACTGCCCGTAAGTGTCGTTGACCGCAACATTGAATTTATTATCAATGGTAGCAAAGCCCCAGTGAATATGGGTGTACTCGCTCGTGTTGATGCTCCTAGCGCGTAAGTTGAGGCATGGTCGGTCCCAGTTCCAGGATTCATAATATCCAATTCTTATAAGCTCCGAAGGGCCTTCGAGGTTATTGGTGATATTGGTTCCACAATTTGAGATGCATCCCCTGCGAGCGGGGGGTGCTGTTCCAGGGTTTCCAGTCGGTCCATTCTCAGGAGTACAGTATTCTGGGGTGATACCGCACTGGCCTCGAGTATCACAGCAGGCGTTGAGCGGACATGGGTTTAGATTGGACAGTTCTATTCCATATTCAGGGGCCTTTGTCCCCGGCACCGTTGGGCCACAGACTGCATCACTTACCGGAACAGGCATAGGTGGGATACCTTCACTGAGACAGATCCTAAGCTCCCCATGAATGTTGTCACAGCCAGTCCAGCCCCAGGTAGCTCCATCGTTAAAGTAACTGATATCCGACGGCTTCAGGTCGTATTCCGCTGCAATCGAAGAGCACGTGTCATTGTCATTTGTTGTGAGGCTAGCACATGAGCCATTTTCATCCATTATTGGTTTCCTGCTGGGAGTCCGAGGTGTGCAGCATACCAGCTGACCTGGCCTCAGTGACGAACATAACCCACCCTCTGGATTGTAGTCAATAAACTCATCTTGGGATATCCCGCACTTGTATGCCAAAGAGGCACAGGAGTCCCCAAAAACGACAGTCTCAGCCATGCACCTGTGTCGCTTGTTATACATGTGCCGTGTATCCATGGAGTCTGCCATTATTGGCCTCGTGACGGCGCTTTCCCCGACCCGAGTACTGTACTTGCTGTGTTGCAAGCATTTAACAGTGTGGCCTGGGCGGACTTGTCTCCAGACCTCCGTGACGCTTCCTGTGGTATCTACTGTGGTACCAAAGGAAGATTCTTCACGCTCATTGCATATGTGTTTGGTCGCGCTGTGGAGAGCTTGCACGTCTCTAATTTGGTCTTGGAAGTGACGAGCAGTGGGAGGCGCAGCAACAAAGTCATCAGTGGTCGAAGTCCCGCAGTATATACCGACAACAGTACAGTTGAAGCACAGGTAGAGACTGTAGGGGTCGGAATAAAGGTCCATTGGCAGGTAATTTGGTATACGGTCGAGGATGAAATGAAGCGTGTCAGGGTCAAAGGAGGGGTTGCTATCATCCACTGTCAACTCGAGCCAGATGTTGCTGCTGTTAGGAAGTAACTCCCAGTTTAATCCTAAAGACGGATGACCTGAAATAATATCCCTATCTGCGACAACGCATGTGAGTGTCTTGCCCGGGGTCTCAAAAGCGTTGATGGAAGTCTCAGTAGAGGGGTCGAGCACCACAGGCTTATTGCAGGTGCTCAGAGACTCAATGATTGGGAAAACAGTGCAGTTGGCTAATTCCCAAGTACATGAGGCAAGACAGAGATCGGGCCCCGAGTTCAGGCCGCTTAAAATGACATTTATAGCCATTGGGACTGCTGAGATAGTGGCCAAAGACGCGCCCTCAAAGGGCCACATCTTGTCAGAATTTAGGGAGGTAAGAATAGTGGATAACAAGAGTAGTCGAAAAGAATATCCGGATAACAAAATAATATTAGAACTGGGTCAAAATGAAGATATTTTGGACAGGAGAATAGAAGGCCAGAGTCGACTAACGGAGGAAAGAACCATCGTAGGTGAGCTGTCCGAGAAGCCTCATCTGAGGTACGTACACAGTAAATCAGTTTCTACTGTGTCTCGTTCCTCTTCAACGGACAATCACTTCATATCCTAGCATACATCAGACCATATCCTCCAATGGACCTTACTTTCATCCTCCAGCGTGCAACAAGATTGAATCTTCCCTCTACAGAAACAACGATCTAGGCACGACCAGTGTAGATATAAAATCTGCACACAATGTGTCTCTGGGGGTTTTGTTTTTCTTCCTCTTTTCCCTCTTCCTCCTCTTCCTCCTCCTCTTCTTCTTCATCTGCTTCCTCCCCATGATCCTTGACCTGAATATCATACTCCACATCCGGCGCTGGTGTACCCAAAGGTGCCGTCGCCTCTCTATCATCATCATCATCAGCAGCAGCAGCAGAGGCGACGCGCTGGAAAATTTCCTCCTTAACAGTTCTCCGAGCGCTTGACTTCTCTCCTATAGCAGGTTTACTGGTGTTTAAATTGGCAGCCTGGATATCTCCTTCCATCTTTGTTGGCGAAGAAAGAAAAAGCGAAAGAAGATGCTGATGGGAATTCTTCTCGTTGGCGCGAAGTGCCGATAATGCAGTTGCTTCGAGCCGGCGCTTTTTGGCCTGGAAACTAACATTAGCCCGATGATACTGCCTATGAAGAGGGTAATGCTGACTGGAGAGGGAGTTCTGGGGTCTTCTTTTCTGGGCTAATCCCCTCTTTGTCAACGTTTGGTAGGTCAAAAAGCGATAGATGGATACAACTCACATCATTGGAGACAGTGGGAGCTGGAGTCAGTGTCTCACGGCTGTTACCCTTGACTTCGGATAGAAAATCTGCCAGATGACGACCAGGCGAGGGATTTTGGCTGGTAATTCGACCTGCAGCCGAGGGGGGGACAGGAGTTGGAGCGGGTATCACAGGACGGGCAGGCGTAGGCGTTGCTAGGGCTGGAGCTGGAGCTGAAGCTGAAGCTGGAGCTGGTTCAGGATGACGTTTCTTCAACTGTCCCCAATATCAGTAGATTGCTATACCTCATCTCATCCATAACCTGGAGGCATACCCGGTTCAACGTTTCCTCTTCACGTCTTTTTGCCTGTTAACTGTTACTGTCCTGAAGCAGTAAGTAGACCACACTGAGCCGAAGTATACCTCATTCTCCAACTTTACGCGTCTCTTCCTATGCTGCATGACAACAGTCAGAAAACAACACCAGAGCAGAAAATGGAACGAAACCAAAAAAAAAAAAAAAAAAAAAAACACACACCGAAATCCTCGAGCTATTTCGACACGGAAAACACAACTTCAGCATGCGAGTGCCGTTATCAGACCGGAACTGGTCTTCTGGGCAGGATTTGCCACATCGAGGGCAAGTTTTGGTCGGGGTAGGCCTCGCCATAAGAAAAGCAAAGCAGAGAGACACACGAGAAGGGCTCTCTCTGGAGGTGCAAATAGAAGCAAGCCGCGGGGAGATTGGTTGGGATTGTGCAAATGGTGGTGAGAGGTTGTCGAGTGTTTTCTCAGGGAAGCTAAAAAAGTGAATGAGGGAATACATACAGTAGCCTCCATGTGTTGCTAGGTGAGTATCAGATTCTTTCATTCTTTTTTTATCCGTTTAAACAGGACTAATTCCTACCTTCTCAGTGTATATATATAGGGTTACTTGAATGATATTAGTATATCGAGAAGTTAGCACATCAAGTATGGAGTACTCCGTACTCAAATATAGCGTATAACAAATAGGGCATGTATACCTAACCCACATCTCAGAACATCCAACGACGATGACCAAAAAAGAAAGAAAAAAAGAAAGAAGAAAAGTAAATCACTAGAGATGAAATATTCCCTTCTCATTCACCTCCCAAAACCTCCAAAGCCCCCGCATCTCCACTCTCGTTGATTGTAGGTAGTACACTCGTGCTAAGATAACGTGGAAAAGAAGAGCTTGGAGAATCCAAAAAGTATCATTTAGATCCTGATGGTCTGGGTATGAAAACATCTCAGTTATAGTATACAGGGAATCAAAAAAAAAAAAATCACATCAGGGACGCAATCAGGTATAATCAACAAAAACATATGCTCGCTCCCCTGTTATGTTGAATCATCGATACCATCAAAGACCAAAGCCCGATGAAACAAATTCCCATGGAAATCAAGGGAATTGACAAAGAGAGCAGATGGATGGTAAAAAAAAAAAAAAAGGTATAGCTAGAATCAAACACCGTTACTTCGATTTTGAACTCCAAACCCCAGGGCTGCACCCTCCAATCAAATCGCTTCGTGAGATCGTTCACATTATCATATCGGTCGATTGTCTATAACAGAAACATCAATTTATATGGATCGCAGATTTATAATGCGAGGCCACTGCCATCACCGGTCCAGCGGTAGAGAGATAGCACTTCCCGCCGGCGCTGCTGTTGCTCGCCATAGTCTTCGGGGACACGCCCGCGGACTTGAGCGAGAGCCGAGCGCATAACTTTGCGGAATGTTCGCTAAAGGGAATTAGTGGGAAGAAGAAGACAAAATATACCTATCAACAGAGGGATAACATACCTGATACTCGGTATTCAACGTTACGACACACGCCTCGTGAGCGCGGACAATAGTCTCACAAGCCCGAACTACACTAGGGCTTGCATCGGCTTGCAGCTTATCGGCTGCAAGAAGGAGCAGGAAACTACCTTGCAGCAGGTAGATACCGAAGAAAAATGGCATGAAACTAAGATCTGGATCATACTCCAGGATCTCTGCGGCTGCCTCAGCAGCGCCTACGGCATGGCTCATGGCTGCAATGAAAGACTCGGAGGAGATCCACATATCATGGTCCTCTAGCAAATTGATGGGATCCCACTTGCCTGCCAAAAGAATGTACAGGACATGCATAATGTGGGTTCCATAGGCAACCACCATCTTGGTGTGGACGATCGACTCGTTGACCCGGGAGCCGACGGTACTGCTCGAGCGACCGGACGGACTGACGTGGTCCAAGTGGGAATTTTCCAGCGGCTCATTTTCACCGAGCGCGAGGCTGCTAGTATAGCGAGTCTCGAAATCCTTCAAGCTCCGGTCATACGCGTCCAGCTGCTGGGTGATCTCTAAGGTTTGCTGCTCCCATTCGGTACCGTTCCGGAAGGAAAGGCCGTAGCGGGGATGGTCTCGGGCGTGTTGCAAGTCGATAATGGCTCCGAGGATTGTCATTAACGGCAGGAAATATCCAAACATGCTGTGACCGGTGCACTCGACCGGAGGGCCCACTGAACGGTACTTGGAAGCAGAGAAATCTCCAACTTGCCATAGATCGTCGTTCATCGGCTGTAGCAACTGGGAACATTCCTTATCGAGCAGGGTTAGTGGTCGGTTATAACATAGCGCCAAATGGCGATCCGTTGCGTAAAGTAACCACCAGAGGCGTCGACGCTCTTCGCGTTCCTCCTCCGTCACATTGATGCTGGAGTTGCCAGGTCCATGCATTGACTGGGAGTTTCGCTTAGTGGGATCAGCATCCGTATCACCATCACGGTCGCCATCCTGTCCAGATCGGGAGGTATTCGGTGGCAATTCACGGCCCAGTTTCAACTCGCGTGCCAAGGCCCAGGCGGCTGTCCACCACCGCATACTAGCAGCCTTGTACTCACTAGCAGAGATCACTGTGGCCAGATGAACGTAGGTGGCCACATCGTCAACGGCGCCGGTTGCGGTGCTTTGAGCACCAAGCTGGTCCATTGAGACGCCAAAGCCTCCCAGTGCAACGCCATTAATAACCATATTAGCGGCGTAATTCGGTGATGCCTCGCCCAGAGCTGGTCTGTGAATCAGGGGGCGCAGGAGCCCGATGGTCAATTCCAAGAGTTTCTGGCAAACACGGCCTCGAGCTGATGGTGGGGACGTCAAGAACGGAGCATCACTGGTTTGGGCCGCGACCCAAAGCATACTCGCCAAGAGTCCCGGGCTGCATACCCGAGGTTTTGCGGGATGAAGGAAGGATTGTTTTCGGAAGATGTACCCTACCACGTATGGGGACTGTGGCGAAAGATGAGAGGATGAAGAGCTGGTAAAGTAACCGTCTAGCAGGTCGCAAGCGAGAGACTGGGGGATTATGGAGGAAATATGAGGGAGGACAGGATGGAGGACAGGATATCGCAGGCTGCTAGAGAAGGGAGCCATACTAAACGAGGGGAAGTTTGCAGGAGATGGAGAGGGAAGCGGCAGCCACCCTGGCGATTGCGCAGGTGGTGAAAGGCCTAAAAACGGGGCGGAGGGGTTCTCTGCTGAGGTTCCGAGTCGGAACTGGTTGATTGAAGAAGGATTCGGCTCTTGAGAGTTGATCAGAGAAAATGTGCTATCGCCATAGGCGCCATGGAGGCCTTGAGGGGGCAGAGCGGAGGGTGGAGAGCGGGGATTGGTGTTAGTGGGTAGGATCTGCAAGGATTGCAGATCAGGAACCGATATTTGCGGTCGATTCGAGTCATTAAGATGGCTGAACTGGTTCAGGTGTAATGCATCAAGAGCAGCAGGCGTAGGGTGTCCGCTTTGAATACCGTTCATAGGATTTGCATGGGGCATTTGTGATTGCACCGACGTGGACAAGCTACGGGAAGATTCCAACGGATCATATCGTCCGCTGGGTTCTTGCGAGGGGCCGCTGTCCTGAGGCGATGCATCTTCCTTGTCCGCGGTGCTGTTGAGTTGTTGCCCGGGTCCCGAACCGACAGCGGCAGCGGCAGCCGCGAGATCCTTTTTCGATGCCTTACCACGTTTCTTGCGTTCCCGAGCATATTCACATGTCAACCCGAATTCTATGGTTGCTGTTAGTTTGCCGCTCACTTTTTCTTTCTTTTACACACACACATATATATATATATATATATCCCGTTTTTTTTTTTTTTTTTTTTTTTTTTTTTTGGCGGGGTAGCTAAAAGACGGGGGAGAATTACGGGCAGACCTACCAATACAATGGGCGCAGGGGTTCTGGCCATCGCACTTGGTGCGGAGTTGATTGCACTGGTCACAGGCTCGGCTAATTCGTCGGCGGATGGGCGCTGCGGAGGAGTTTTTGCGAATCATGGAACGGGCGTCAGCGAGAGAATCGCGCATGGTCGGGCTTTTAAAGTCATTGGCATTATAGAGCCGGTCCTTGGACTTGGACAGGGAATGTCTGAGACCAGGCACGCTGGTATCACCCGATGCGGGTTCTCGCGACAGCTGCAGTTGGTCGAGGACATACTGAGAGCCTTCCGCGAGGGTGTCGAGGCCAATAGTCTGAGTCTGAGTCATTGCGGCCGACTGTGAGGAAGCAAAGGGAGAGAAAGAAGTGGCGAAATTGTGGATGGAGGTAGTGGTCGACATCCTCCCAGGATCGAGAAAAGCGATAGATTTAAGCAGGCATAGAGGCGGGAAGAGATGACCTAGGTAGACAGAGGAGGTGTGAGTGAGGCAAATCAGAAGAAGGAAGAGGATGAGATGGGAAGGAAAAGAGAGAAGAGAGGGGAGGAGAAGAGAAGTGGGAATAGTTCCAGGGAGAGAAACTCACACTAGTGACTAGCGGACACGAGGAAACCCCAGAAAAGTCGGGGAAAAACCTGCTAGTAGTATATGTAGTTAGTAGTCAGGCCATACTCGTAGTCATACTGATATCCGGATCGTCTTTGTATCTTTCTGAAGAGGGGAAAAGAGAGATCTTGCGAAATTGCCAGGACGCTGATTGACTGTCAGAAATCCTTCTTGTACTTCTTGAAGCTGGGAATCTAGCCTCACAATGCGTTCCGGTTTCCCCACACCGACTGAACTGGACGCTAAAGCACATGGATTATTCTCCCATTGCGGATAAAAATAGATTAAAATAAAAGAAATATATATATGTCAAAGAAAATATACATTGGTAGTCATACATGGATATCATAATATACATACACCCCCGGCTCCTCCTGTCTAATTTAACTTTTGTGTGGCTCCCCATGCTTCAAAACAAATCCAACCAACGCCAATCCAATGCGTCCAACTCCCCCCCGGGCTTCCTGGCATCTTAAGAAAAGAAGTACTGACTGTTGCGGATCCGTGTCAGATCCCATTCACCCTTCTTCGGTACCTCGCGGAACCGCAAGGGGAGCCAGAGCCACACGTATGACCGCGCCTCCTTTTTCTTCTTCGTGGGCGCGGCCCCCTCTGCCTGTTCCCCGTCCGGCCCCACGCTCACGGCTCCCTCACTCGCTTCGGCTTTCGTGCCTAGCACATCGTTAAACCCGCCGAGCAGCGTCTCCAGGGCCGGGTCCGATGGGTCGGCCTCCATCCCCGAAATTTTCCGTTCTGCCGCTGCCAGGTCTTCAGGGACGTGGCCCACAACGGTCTCGCCCAGGGAGCTGGCAATGGCAAGGTCGTGGTCTGTACCGCCAGCTTGCTCAAACACACTACCCGCCGTGACCATAGCACGGCCCTGCGCTTGCAGTTCCGGGTCATCAGCCTTCAGCAGATTTTGCCGCTTGTACTCCTCCAGCAGTTCTTGGGTCTTGCTGGCATTCTTTTGCCCCTTCCTGAACGCCTTGATCACTTTTCCCATCCGGCTCTCGGCGGGGACCTTGGCGTAAAACAGATTCCGCCCGTAGCGAACCTCAAACTCCGCCGCCAGTCTTTTGATCACATGGTCGGAGTGCATGCGAACAAATGCCTCTCGGAGAATCTGATTCATCGAGTCAACGTCGCAGGCGTGGGTCCAGAATGAATCGTGGACCGCCGAAAAGCTGAGTCCTGCCCGGTGGCATGCGGTGGCAGACATGATCATATGGGTGGCATCAAGAGAGTGAATGAAATTAGGAGGGAACGCTTGCAGCTGCTTGCGCTTCGAGACAACATCATCAGCGTTGGGTTCGACAATGCTCAGAGCCTGGAGCGAAGTGGTGATTCGACGAGACACGCGAACCCGGTAAGGCTGAACCACTGGCAATCCTAGTGGTGTGGTCCAGATCACGGTAGATCGAAACGCCTTTGTCGGGTCGTTCGCTTTGGTTTGGGCCTTACCAGAAGCGGTGGGGGTCGTCATGGCTTCCTTGGCGATAGCCTCAATATGCTCGGGAGGAAGGGACTGTGTGATGCGACTAGCACAGTCTCCAAGCCAATACTGAATGTCGTGTGCCCCGTTGAACATCGTGCCTAATGCCTGAAAGATCTTGCGAGCAATATACAACGCACCCTGCTTCGTGTCTTCTCTGGACAGATCGGGATAAAGATCCACCAGTTGCTTGCGTACTTGCTTCATCGCTCCCATGAAGGTCACACCGTAAACATTCGTCATGACTGTCTGTTTGACAACCTTACGAGTAATCTTGCCGTTAAGCATCTTCGCGATGGGGTGACCCTGAGCGGCTTGCGTTGCCACCGTTGTCTTGACGAACTCGGCAACACCACTATACACATCGGATGGGCGGTCAGAGGGCTCAAGATTGACCTGTTGAGCACCAATACTGTCTCCTCCAAGAGCAGCGTAGTGCTGCAAGCCGTTGCAGGAGCCATCCTGGTGGATAGGTAGGCGCGATGCATATTCCGTAGGAACCGCATGTTGAAGAGCATTTCGCAGTTCGCAACAAGCAGCTAAGCATTGCCAAGGATCCTCCGCTTTAAGCCACCACCGGCGGCCGTGGAGACCATTATTTGCCGAATCAAGTACGTCGTCGAGGTGGTCCATCGTAAACTGCTCACGCTCAGACAGGCTAGCCTTGTCATAACCTGAAAGATTCGCAATCTGAATCTTCAGCCACTTTAGGCCGCTATCGCCAAGTGGCTTGGCTTTACTAAACAGCAGTAGACCTCTTGCGTTGTCTGCACCCATTTGGTTAAGGTAGGGAGGAAGGGGATACGCCCTGCCGCGGAAATCCATGTTGTGCGGAAGATAGAATGTCTCGTTGAGATATGCGCGAGCAACCTCCATCTGGAAATTTTGGAAGCATCGCTGGGAATGAAAACCGGATCTGCGGTTTTCAATATCACGCATGAGGTTATCCCACTTTTTCTCAGCTTCGTACCCCTCCTCTGGGGATGGCTTGGTCGGGTGAGGAAGATCGGGTTCGAGTGGTGCAATGTCGGCAATTGGATCACCGGTATTCCAGGCTTCAAGCATCACATTGAAAACGTCATGGTTGATTGTCCATCCAGTACTACCGAGAATATCTAACCCCTCACGGACCTGCTCAAGGCCATTGTTCTCTAGTGCTGCTTTGATGTATGTTGGCTGCAGGCTTTCGCCTGGTGTTGACCGGACAATGTTGCTCTTGTGTAGGAAGTAGGCGCCATCCTTGAAGCCCTTCCAGGGTCTCGGTTTACAGATCATTGGTAGATGGCGGCCCAGGAGATCTCCCATTGGCTCCTTGGTGGCAATCTTGACAATCTCCGGATGTATATGAATGTATCCACTGCGTCTGCCCCAGGCAATTTGATATGAGTGCTGGAAAGCGGGTTGCATGGCCATTTTCCCTTTCTTGGTTGCTGCATCTTCCACATATACCGGGGCTTTCCCAGCATCAAACAGAAGACTCATCAACACAGCTCCAACCTTGGCTTTCACTCCAGCCGACCAAACAGCTTCAGGCTCATCCTTTTCCAGATCTTGAACAATGCTTTGCCATTTAGCTCGGCCATCATTCTGTTTGCGGCCAGCAAGCATTTCTTTCAAAACCTGCATTCGCCGAGCGCTGGCACCAGCCTGTTTGCTAAGAGTTTTCTCGGCCATAAGTTCGTCGTAGAGATCACTTCCGATAGCTGAAACAAGTGTAGAGACCTTAATACCCTTTTCCATTCCTCCGCGGCTCAGACAACCCATGACTGTAAGAATCGTAAGGGCCGCGAGCTTGTCTGCATCAAGGGAGCGCAAATAGACGCCGTATTCGCATCGTTCTTTTTGCTCGACAGTGCGGATGGGATTGGCTTCAGCTTCATCAACAAGTTTCAACTCTTCTTTGATGTTCGCTACCAGCTCCGTATGCCACTGGCTGATCATGGGACCCAATCGCTTTCCTGTTCCAGAGGCATTCAGACCCAGATTTTTTACGCCTTCAGCTTCCTGTCGCCAGCGGTTCAGGGCAGACTGCATCACCTCGGCCTCAAGCTTTTCTTGTCGGCGCTGTTCGTATAACTCCTGATCCTCCACGCATTCTCCGTCCGTAGCCGTTGGTGGGGTAGAGAACATAGAGAGAGATTCTTTAAGCGACGAGAGCCCTAGACCTTTCTGTTCAACTGGCCTAACTTCGGCGGTGGCCTCATGGGCTGTCAAATCTAAATCGTCAAATTTAGTAGTCCTGGCCGCCATACTATCAATTGCAACGCGTTGTAGATCAGAAGAGCAAATCTAGGGAACCCAGGAATTAGTAGGAGCGGGTGGCGAGAAAAAGAATGAAGCCCAACAAAGGCAGACCAACCTCAGAAAGTTCACCAAGCTCGAGTTCTGAGAGAATGGGAACAGCCAAAACTTCCTCCTCAACACCCGCGTTCTTGGCGAAAGCCCAATAGCGACGGACAGATCGATCCCTCTTAGATCCATGGAACATGCGCAGGGCCATGCGGATCATAATAGCGAAAGTCGTAGCATCAGGCTCCACGCCTCCATATGGCATATCTACTTCGAACCATCTCTGCATCTGCAAAACTAGGTCATGCTCCCTTGTTAGGATGATATGCGACACCATTGCTTCCAAATACCGGTTGTGCAGAACGAGATAGCCAGGAGAACCAACGGGGTGGTACTCCCTCAGCCGGTTGATTAGACTCGCCGCGCGGTCAAATCGACTGACTTTGAGAGAAATGTCCAAATTCGCCATCATTTCCTCCTCATCTCCGCCAATACCTCTCATCTTCCTCAGCACTTTTGGCTTGGTTTGCAAAACATCATTGACAATGATGAGAGACGATGGATCGAAATCCCTCGGGGGAGGTGGGAAAAGAGAGCTCCATTGCTGGTTTTGGGAAAATTCGGAGGGATATGGATCGCTTTCGAAGGGAATCGCGGTCTGGTCCGCTGCAGTGGCGAGACTCCGGCTAGATTGGAAGGACGGTCGACGAGGGTGAGCTTGCGGAGAAGAATTCAACGAGGTCGAGTGAATGGACTGTAATCGACTTGAGGAGGAATATAGCCGTACTTTGGTGGATGATTGCAAGAGGGAGCGTCCTCTCAACAAACGGAGATGAGATGCAGGGGTTCTCTGTCGGGCAAATTGGGACAACATGATGGACAACGCTATTCGAACAAAAGGATGATAAATATTACAAAGTAGGAAGGTAAGTAAAACCAATTAAAGAAATAATAAAACACGCAAATGTGAAAATAAATTAGAGGCAAACAAGATGCAGGAGCAAAACCATCAGGCTAGTAAGTATGCAATCCAGGTACAAGGAAACAAGAATCAACAGTGTGGCAGCAGGAAAGCGTCAATCCAGACTCACAAGCCGTCCTGCAGCTCTCCCCTACTCGGATGAGCGATAATAAAGAAGGACAAGGGGGAAGGGGGGATGGAAAGAGGTGAGGAGGTGAAGGAGAGAAAAAGACCGAGAGAAAAGAAAAGAGTTCCTGGAAGAAAAATACGCAACGCCCAAAAAGGGTGATCCATCACGTGATAAAATAACTTTTGCGCCGGGGCCAACTGGTCCCGGATTATCCGGTGCCTTCGTATTAAAAATGATACAAAAAGGACAGTTGGAAAATAATTTAGTATTTCCTAAATACAGCACTATCCTTCCTCAGTACTACTGCCAGAGTCTGTACCCTTCTTCCGATTCTGCTTCATCGCCCAACCCGTCATCTCCGGCCGTGCCGGGTCAATTCGCGGCGCACTCATTGTATCTAAGTAATCCTCACTATTAATTGCAGTCTCCAGCTGCGGCAGGTCTTCTAGGTCCTGATGCATCATGTAGTTCTCGTAAATTGCCCACGATTCCTCGTTCTGTAGGTGTATTGTTAGCCAGGACACTGAGGAGTTGTCCGAGAAGGAGACGACTCACATCGGCATCAACCCAATCATATGTCTTCCACTGTTCATCCTGCATACTCTTCAAGAGGTCAAGGTTACCCGGTTCAATAACCTCTCTGTCCTCTGCAGCCTTGATTTTCACATCAATTGCCCTAGCCTCAGGCTCGGCCCGATCCTCTTCGCCTTCTTTGCGGCTCTTTGCACCGCGTCCTTTCGGAATCTCATCCATGGCATCAAGATGATGCAGCTGTGGATGTAACTGCACCACCGCAGAGACAGGCGAAAGGTGCAGATTATCTATCTATGGTTAGCCCTTCACCAGGTAGAATAACTCATGGAAAAAAAAAAAAAAAAAGAATGAAAAAAGGAACACATACCTCCGCGAAAAGCAGCAAGCATATAAACCGGATCCCCATCCTCCGGACCCTTAATCCTTCCTCCCAAAGTCTGCACCTTCAACAACGAAGCATCCTCCCCACCACCCATTCCACCCATATCAACATCCCCACCAAACTCCCCCTTTACTTTTGCACCACCAGCTCCTCCCGCCCCGGAACCCCCCGAACTAAACCCCCCGCCATACCATACGCGCCTCCCTCCCTCGCACTTCGACTCTTCCTCAACGCATCCCCGTACCTTAAGCCCTTCCCCACATCATAATTCACCCTCGTGTTAATCGGGACATCGACCTCCACGAGACCCGTTTTGGGCTTCAGCCGCAGCGCCGTGGGTTTCTGCCCATTGAGCTCGTCATATGCGTATCCGGTGGGGCGATCGAGGTATTGCAGGACGTATCGTGAGATTTCAGAATCGGTCAGGTAGATATCATAGGAGGCGATTACAGGGTCCGAGTCCTTGTCGGACGGGGATTGTGGTTGCGGGGAGGATTTGGGCATTTCTTTCTGCGCACTCTGTACGGGTGTGAGAGTCTCTCTTGTGGCTGGCAAGTCGGTCTGTGTTTTGAGGTTCGGAGGTAGCGGGGGGGTTTTGAAATTTTGTAAAAAAAAAAAAAAAAAAAATTATAACGGGAATTTGTCTTATAGAGCAGTCATGTCATGGCTTTGAACTTGGGGATATGTGGAAAATCGCGATGCCTTTTTTTTTTTTTTTTTTTTTTCTTGCTTCGACTTGGAGTGATAAGCTGGCAGAAAGATTTTGGGTTTACACCGCTTACTGTTTACTGATAGGCGTGGTGTTCCAGGCCGCCTCCAGCATAAAACACATTCATTACTAAACAACATAACAACTCATGCATAAAATTACGAGAGGCTCTAGGTGAGGGCTTGTTCCAGGTGGAATTATGTAAAGGTGAGGAAATATTTTATTGAAATGTGATTTCGGTCATCATCGGTATCCAACAAGTCAAATCATTATCAGAAACAGAAATTCAATATCTTCACAGCAAAATGTAATCGTTAACATAGACAAGAAAAGAATCTCATAATCCCGCAGCGTCGTCTGATATTTACTCCTCCTCGTCTTCCTCGGCAACCTAGAAACCTGGTCAGAACATGCAGGCAATCAATAGTTAGAATATGTCACTTACACCTTCGTGGAAGTTGCGTCCGTCGGTAGTCTCCTTGATAACCCCAGCACGGATACACCAGTCACCGAATCGCTCGGGGACCTCGCCGTCGGTGTTGCGCTCAAGGGCGTACCGTCTGAGAAGGCCCTTCATAATGTCGAGGATCTCGTCCTCCTTGATGGATGAGCGGTACAGCTTGTTCAGACGCTGACCATGGTATCCACCACCCAGGTACATGTTGTAAGCACCATAGGCCTTACCAACGAAGGCAGCCTCGGCGAGCCAGGGTCTGGCGCAACCGTTAGGGCAACCGGTCATACGCATGACAATGCTGTCGCGAGCAAGGCCAACTTCTTCAAGGGTAGACTCAAGCTTGGAGATAAGCACGGGGAGATAGCGCTCGGATTCGGCCATGGCCAGGCCACAGGTGGGGAAAGCAACGCAGGCAGAAGAAGAAAGACGCATGCCGCTGAAGGAGGTGTTGTCGAGCTTGTATTTGGCCATCAGTTCCTTAATCTCGGGGAGGTCCTCGTCCTTGACGTTGGAGATGATCAAGTGCTGGTTACCAGTGAGACGAAATTCGCCCTTGTCAAGAGCGGCAAGCTCGCGCAGACCGGTACGCATCTGGAACTCCGCGGTATCCTCGATACGTCCGTTCTCAATGAAGAAGGTGAAGTGGTTGAGACCCTTCTCGTCCTTCAGCCAACCAAAGGTGTCAACGTTGGAGTCGAACTTGAAAGGACGGGGCTCAGCGAAGCGCAGGCCCTCAGGAAGAAGAGCCTCGACCTTCTCCTTGAAACCCTCGACAGTCAGGTCATCAATTGTGTACTTGAGACGAGCGTGCTTGCGGTTCTTGCGGTCGCCGAAATCACGCTGGACGAGCATGATCTTCTCACAGACAATGTGAGCCTCGGCAGCGGGAACATAACCGAACATGCGACCGGTCTGAGGATATGTCTTCTTGTTGTTGTGAGTGGTACCCATACCACCACCGGCAAGGATGTTAAATCCTTCCAGGTGGCCATCGGTCCCCTTGATGGCAATCAAGCCGATATCGTGGGCATAAACGTCGGTGTCGTTATGAGGAGGAATGGCGATGGTGATCTTGAACTTGCGAGGAAGGTAGGTGGGTCCATACAAAGGCTCATGGTCAACGATGGCGTCACCAGCGACTTGAACCTTGTTGTCATTCTCATCCTTGAGCCAGATCTCGTGGTAGGCAGTTGTGGAGGGGAGGAGGTGGTCACTGATCTTTTGCGACACAGCATGCACTTCACGGTGGTAGTAGGAGACTTCGGGCAGGGAACTGCACATGACGTTACGGTTAACATCACCACATGCGGCAATAGTGGTCATCAAGGACTTGTTGATAGCGCGCATCGCAGAGCGGAGGTTACGCTTAATAACACCGTGGAATTGGAAGGTTTGTCTGGTGGTTAGCTTCATGGTCTCATTACCATAGGCGCTGCTGATGGCATCCATTTGCAGCCACTGAGAGGGAGTAGCGACACCACTGGGAAGACGACAACGGATCATAAAGCTGTACGCGGGCTCCAGACCCTGAGCTTTACGCTCATCGCGGATATCACGATCATCCTGCATGTAGGTACCGTGAAACTTGGTCAGCTGCTGGTCGCTGGCAGAGATAGCACCAGTGCTTTCATCCAGTAAGCCCTCGGCGATGGTACCACGCAGGTAGTTGGACTGAATCTTGATATCCTCGTTGGTCAGTGGAGCGGGCTCCTCGGGAAGGCCCTCAACCTTGTCCACACCAAGAGCCTGCCAGAGTCGGGGCTCCCAGTCGGAGTAACCAGTCTGGAAACCATCCGGATCCTGGTCATCACCGAGACCAATATCGGCAAGCTTGCGGCCACCAAGGAAGGCAATACGGGCATCGAGGTCCTTGGCGGGCTTGTTGTAATAGATCTTGTCCTCCTTACGTGGCCAGTAGTGGCTATCACCAAGACCGAAGACAGAGTAGTTGATGGTAGACAGGTCCAGATCGCCAGAGTTCTTGACAAATTCCCACAAGGTGCGGCCGTTCTGGGGGAACTCTCCCTGACCGGCTGTACTAGTAACGAAAACGATGTTCTCCTCAGTAGCCAAATCCTCAGCTGGGTAGTCGTCCATAGCCATGACCATGGTCTTCAGACCGCGGGCACGGCCACGGTTGCCTAGACGATTGGCGAGGGTGGTAGCATTGCTGTTATCGGAAGCGTAAAGGATGGTCAAGGGAGCACCGAACAGGCCTTCCAACAGCTTCTCGTAGGAGTCCTTGGCTTTGCGCTTTTGAAGGGAGCGGACTTCAGTGCCGTAAGACTCGGACAGGACCGAGGCGTACTTGGGCTGGCGGTTCATGAGCTGAGTAAGTTGGTTGTCACGACGAAGGAACTCCTCGAGCTCACGCTTGATGCGCTCAGAGTCCAGGGCGAACTTAGCCTCACCGCGGTCCTCGTTGGCAGGGTTCCAGCGGTACAGAGGCCAGTATCCAAGATCAACAGCCTTCTTCGTCTCCTGAAGAACGGTAAGGGCGGAGTCATTCTCCTGATGGTAAGGCAAGTAGGCGACAACAATAGAGGGACCCTTGAACTGCTCAGCTTCAGCCATGGCCTGCAGAACCTGAGTGTAGGAACTGTAGACTGCAACGGAGGCCACGTAGGCGTTGCCGAAGTTCATGGCGTACAGACCAATATCCTTCTTTCTGCGAGTTGGGTCGGCAGCGGTACGCTCAGAGTAAGGCTGGGAATCGATGATAAGCATGTTAACATCAGCTCCGGAAGCAAGGACATGGTGGACGCCAGAGTTTCCGAGATCATAGGACCAGGCATCAGAGCCAATCAACCAGCGGGACTCGTCAAAGAAGAGCTTCTTGGACTCCAGCAGCTGTCTAGCCAGCTTGGATCCATCGTTAGAAAGGCGGGCAATAACATCAGGAGCCAGCTTGTTCGCCTTGGTAGCGTCATTGGCGTTCAAAGCCCAGTTAGCAAGCCAGGTCTTAGGAACGTTAGTAGCAAAGGTGTCCGACTTTGAGGCCTCCTCTACCTCACGAATGAATCGCTGGCGATGCTCCATCCGAGCAATCAAGGAACCGAAGCCATATTCCGGGCTTGCGGAAATGGTGGAGGAAACCCCGGCGTTTTTAGCGCCGAGCTGGTTGGCAACGTGCAGACGCTCACCAAAGAGTTGGTTAAGAATCTTGACGTAAGCATCCTCGACGCGAGGCTGCTCAAGACCGGTCTGAAGGGTGGGGACCTTGCCACTGCCAATCTCAAGATTCTGGATAGGAGCAGGAGAAGTCAAGTTTTGAACAATACCGCGGAGAGCCTGAACAGCAGTGGAGGGCTCAACGTAGCCAAGTCGATAACCAACGATTTGTGGGCTCCGTCCCCCAGCGGCAGCGGGGGTCAAGCTCGACAGGAGGTCCATAAAGGAAGGACCCCACTTGGTGGTCTTGCGGACCTGTTCCAGAACGGCAATTTTTTCGATCGAGTTGGGAATAGAGTTAACAATCTCGGAACCCACCCAGGGACGATACAGACGAGCAGTGATCAACCCAACGCTAGCAAGTTCAGGAGCAACCTCCTCCTTTCCGAGAACATCAACGAACAGGCCGGTCGAGCCAAAGACAAAGATAGCAGATTTAGCATCAGCAGGACCAGTGTATTCGATGGCACGGTAGGTACGCCCCACGTTCTCAGACAAGACTCTCCAGATCTGGCTAGTCCATGCAAAGATATCAGCGGCGCTGACGGGTCGCACGGAGACAGCGTCGATTGTGGTAGCAGCTGAGCTGGTAGCACGGGTATCCACACTGCTATCACGCTTCGAAGATCCCACAGACGAGTTATCGACACTAAGGCTGGAGGGGGTCTGGGAAGGAAGGGCGAGAGTAGCAGAGGACTCAACTGCGGCGCCCGCAGAGGCCTCCGCTGCCTCCTCGGTGACTGTAGCAACACGGCCCGAATCAGTGTACAAAGTATCAACACCGTGCCCAGCAGCATGTGCAACGGTGTTGGCACTGGAGTCAAGGAGAATTCGGAAGACCGTTATGTTCTCCTGCTCAATGGCATCGTCGTTCGCGGAATTAGCGGGGTCGAAAAAGTGGATAACACCCTTTCCAGACTTGCGAGCCAGCGCATGGGCCGTAATAGCCATATCCTGGGCCTCCTGCAGTGTCTCCGAGTGCAAAAATGTGAAGCCGCATTGCCGGATAGAGCTAATGACGGAGTAGTCTGGGAAAGGATACGGTTCCAAAGCGACGTGGATGACAATAGGAGAGTTCGCCAGGCGGTAGAGATGGGGGATGGAAGTAAGCAGAGTAGAGGAGCTAGTCACGGCGGACACAAGGCTTCCATTCTGCAGAGGGTGGAAAGCAGAGAGCAGGGGGTCCTCATTGTAGCGAACAGAAACCACCTATGGGCCATTATTAGCCAGTATTCTCCCGCCTCCCTCTCCCCCAACATACTGTATACAATTAACTGTAACTCACCTCGGGGACACCTTCAGGCGCAATGCTACGAACATTGCTAGCCCTCAAAGCCTTGAGGGTCTTTGTGAACCACGAATCAGCCTGAAGGGAGGGCTGAACAGAGAGGATGACATCGCTAGCCAAGTAGGCGATTCTCGCCACTGAAAATGCGCATTAGTGAACGACTATTACTCAACCAAATAGTAACCACCCAAATGACAATGAGACATCCAAGCAGTACAAAACTTACCAGCCTCTCCAGCAGTTGCAATAGGGGCCATGGTGGCAATTGCTGGCCTTCCTGCGAAACCCGCGGGAAGTAGAATGAATGTATTAGGGTTGGAGAGAAGGAGGATATCACCGCATACGGTGACTCCGCGAAGAGAATCGAGTCAATGGAGAGAAGATGGAAGGGAGAAGAGAGAAGAGAAGAGGGATTGAGTAAGTGTATAAATTTTTTTTTTTTTTTTTAGTTCCCCCTCACTGTCCAGACGAACTCCAACTGAGGAATTCCTCCCCTCCGCCATCGGGATTGGATCATCCATTCGGTGATTGGTTTTCGATCACGACATCGATGCAAACAGGATTTCGCCAGATTGCCAAACATACCAAATGGGGTAAAGTGCGGGGTGCCTATGACTGGCGCTCCAGGTTCAATTATACTATTCTCAATTAGGAAATTCATTAGGAGATAGGGCTCTACCTCTTATTATGTACAGTTAGCAGCACGCAATGAATCTCGAAAGCTACTACCTAGTGGAGGCACCCAGCGCAGAGTTTTGCAAGACATCGTTCCATCGATTAGCTACTTTGAGGTGAGCTTCTATTGGTTATAACTATGACTTACCTAGGTTACCTAGGTAGGTACCTTGTTGGGAAGTCACGCAACTATATAACCTGACCTTGAAGCCTGGAGGCGCCACTGCTCCTGCTTCTGTCCGTGGATAAAAGCTGAGATCTTGGATTGTTCAAGGTTTTCCTTCTTAAAATCACCCTAGGAGCCTGTGTTTAATTAAACTAAATCTGCAGCATTGCGCCACCGACTCTCCCCTCCAAAAGCTGACTCTTCACTCTCTTCCCATTCACTCTATACATTGGCTAGTTCGCGTAATAGTATAACTATATCTAAACAACTTACCCAGTTCTTCGCAATGAGAGAATCCAAGTCAATAAAAGACAAGAGAGACTATAAGGGATAAGAGTTTATCCAGACGGTAAGCTACCTAAGTGCCGACATGTGGTGACTACTACCAGGGCAGTGCATAGCACCAATATAGTCCGCCACAGAAGAAAACATTCGCAAGCATTGTGGAAAGGTTCATGGTTATAGATTCATTATCAGCCATTCAAGATAATGCAGCAAACAAAAAAGTAGATTCTGTGTATACTCCCTCAACACCGGATCAAAAGAAACCACGCCCATATCAATCAATACCATATGCATGTACATGTCCCAGGCGCCAAGGGGTTCGGAGGCTGGAACTCAAATTCAGAGTTCATCCCCCTAATATCCCAGGATATGTTTCGTCTTCTGAGTACCAAGAATGATGAATGATGTTTTCCGTATCCCAAAGCAGCCGCTCCAATTCCAATGAGAACCAACGCCTGTCCCCCTTTCCCAAGAATGACAACCGTGAAAAAGCAGACGGGAGAACAGAAAGGAGATTCTATACCCTCCCATTCTGGCTGATTCGTAAGCAAGGTAAATATGTATGTCTCATCTCGGCGTATAGAAGTGGCAAAAGTAAATCGAAATTTCAAATATGCAGGTGGATATAAGTGGTGCGAACAAAAGTGGAAGGCGATAAATGGTTCAGTCTCCAAACAGCAGCATGCTCTCTAGATTTTGAACATAATATATGCATCCTATTAAATATGAGGGTTGAGTGAACCAGTCACTAGCTACCTGGTTTCTGCCCAGTCGTGAACCTTGACATTCATCCCTGGTGCTGGGGGCTGCAAAGCCGCTTGAACGGTGGATTGAGAAGGTACAGGAGGTCCAGTTCCGGACCGACGTCGTCGCTCTCGTTCAAGGGGGCCGGTAAGTTCAGTGGCTTCCTCACGAGCGCGAAACCGACGGCCCAGGTTGCTCATCCAGTTTCCACCTTCCTCGTCTTCACCGAGCCAGTAGTTGCGATTAATACTGATCATAGCGCGACCAAGTTTTCCCTTCCATCCTTGGCCATCGGGACTATATGGCGAAAACGGTTCGCGGTCGATATCGGCCACGCTGGCCACGCTAGCGATAGAAGTATTGCGGCTGTGAGTTGGGAGCTGGGTGTGGCGGGGCACCGCGACATAACGGCGCAGAGCTTGGCGGGCAAATGCTAACATGACAAAAACAAAGTATGCGCGAATCAGCCATAGGATGCAGATGAAAACAATGCTCTGGAAGCTCTCGGGTTGGGTAACAGCGTTCCGACTTCTCGCATAGTGGTCGCCGCCAGCGCCACTGAGGGGTGTATCGGGCTCGGGGCTCGTGAAGCCTGCGGTTTGGGCCATCGTTTCAGCCCCTGGGCCCGTCGCGTGGCCATTCTCGTAGTGCTGAGAAATTACCAGAAACCACGTCACTCCAAAGGCGGCGGTATAGGCGGCGTTGATCACACTGTCGAACACATAGAGCCATGCAAGAGTGAGACATTGCAGCGGGGATTGTTTTCGGATATGAGGGAAGAGGAGTGCTGTCAGACCAAGCGCGATGAGGGAGTAAAGGTACATGGATAGCTGGACGGGCGATAGATCGTAGCCGGTCAACAAGGCAAGCAAGCCATAAAGACCACTAATTTTGTTGAGCAATAAGGATAATGTAATTAAAGAAGCGCCTGTCTGTAAACTCATGACATAGAGAAAGCTCTGTTGTTGGAAAGCACCGCATGATCGAGGGTAGTAACGGTTAGCGACCGGATGAGCTGACGGAGAAGACCATGAAGTCGAATCCCAAGAACAAACATACCTCTGGCCGCGGAATGCGGAGGCAACGGGTTGACAAACCCATCTTGGATATCGCCAAAGGGAGATATCAGGCAAAAATGGGTCTGAAAGAAGCAGAAGTGGGTGGTGAAGGAATGGAAGGCAGAGGAGGTTTCAGCAGTAGAAGAAAGAGAAGAGAGAGAGAGGGAGAGAGAGGCTGGAGGAATTGGTAAAGACGTCGAGCCGAAGCCTAATGAATGGATTATGACACAGGGGTGCAGTTGTGGTGCGGGCTTTCCGGTCAATCCGCCCTGTCCCTTTTTTCTTTCTTTCTTTCTTTTTTCTTTGCTTTTTCTTTTTCTTTTGTCAGCAGAAGATGATCTTGCAGGTCTCCGCGTGCATTCAGTCTACACATCATTTGATATCTCTATATCTTTGATATTTATATTTTAATATCCTGTTATTAATAATTATTCTTGTTATTGATTTAGCAGCCCTGTTCAAGAATTCTCGAATATCTCCGAACTTTGAAGTAGTGGGTCGTTTTACCAGCAGCCTATCCACGACAACCCATCAGGCGCTAAGAATCCTTCAAAACAAATATGCGTCGAGGATGAAGCTAGCAGAGTTTAGAAGACTTTAAATACCTCTAATTGTTGTCGGGTTGCAAAGTTGCTCAGGATTGTACTGTCGTATTGGGCTCTGGATCAAAGATTCAGTATCGTCCAATACTAAGAAATAAGTAAAGTGAAAAGCTCACTATGTCTGATAAACTCTGTATGCGTAGTTTGGACTTTCTGGACCTATCACATGTCATATGGATGTTTTAATGTGAATATATAATATTATATGTAGGTACATAATGGCTGGCGGGTAGAATTACACTTGACTTGAACACCAAATACATACTCGCACCGTTTAAGTCTGGAATACTATACTTGGGACAAAACACTGAATACTGACATGCAACCAACGCCAACCTCGATTAAGCTTCATTCAACTGGAAGATAGCAGGAGGAGAAGCAGAAGCGAGAAGAGTTCATCTAGGCACGCTAGTCAACTGACAAGCAAAAGGAAAAATGTACATCTTAAGAAAATCAGATATTATAAACAATCTCAAACATCATCATTGAGATCCAAGCAATTACGCTGGCAGAGGTGAGGTAGGTAGTGACCAAGGCGATAGGCTTCCAAATAGCATCTAGCAGGCGCATCCATCATTGTTCGTGGTCTCTTTGGGACTGATATTAACGTCAATCACTGTAGAATCGCAGTCAGTAAACACCATCCTTGCAGCGCAGTATGCAGGGGAACGAACTCTGGCTCTCCCCCCGGGTGGCTTCCCCTTCCATTCCCGGCAGCGCTTGAGCTATCCTCCTGAACAACTGCTTCACGTTATGCCCAACTTTCGCACTAGTCTCGATGAACATAAGACCATTCTTCTTGGCTTCCTCCTCACCCTGTGCTGTTGTCACTTCTCGCTTATCGCTCAAGTCGGTCTTGTTGCCCACGAGCACGATGATAACATCGTTTCCCCGCTCGCCCCGTACGTCATCGATCCACTTGCGGGTGTTCTGGAAAGATTTCGCATTGGAAATATCATACACAACAACGGCTACGCTCGAGTCACGAATATAGGAAGGAATCAAGGATCGGAATCGTTCTTGGCCGGCCGTATCCCAGAGCTGAAGTCGAACGGTTCGATCCTCCAAATACATCGTCTAGAAAGCCATTGTCTCAGCGTGTTCCGACCCCATCTATGAGCGTAGGTAACGGAATGAAGAGGTGATCGAACTGTCCCTCCATTTGGCGGGGTTAGTGGCTCACCTTTGACAAGAAGTCAATTCCAATGGTCGCCTGATATGTGTTGTCGAACGAGTCGTACATGAACCTGGTAATCAACGACGTTTTCCCCACTAAATCTCGGAAATCAGAACGCTGGCAGTCTTGTTATCAGAGATCAGGCGAGGTGTCCGTACCGCTTTGTTCACCCAAGAATACTAGCCTGCGGTCGGATTAGCAATGCACCGTCGGCTGGTTCCTGCGCATGGGAAAGGCATACTTGAATTTTTTCAAAGGGTTCGAATACGACCCTACTCCAGAGGTCGAAGCCATGGCGATAGAGGCAGAGAATGGGAAACTAGGGGTAGTGAAAGTCTACGGTGGGAAATGAGGGCTTGGGCGGTGGGGAGGGAGGTGAAAAGGAGCAGCGGCCTTAAAGAGTTGAAAGGAAGAAACGCATGGGAAGAAGAAATGAAAAAAAAAAAAAAAATTAGGGGGCAGGGGAAGGTGGAAGATATTGAAATTAGCCTAGTAGAGAATGCGACCACCAGGAGGCCAAATGGTGGATTGGAGAGGGAGCTTTTAGTTCATGAGTCTGGGGAACTGGGAACCACACCAGGCAATATCATAACGAACGTCTCTCACTCGCCGCCCCACGGATTAAACACCGGCCCGAATCTCCTTCCGCGAGATGTTGTCCGTCGGTTCTCTGCTCCAACCCCGTTCACGCAAATGAGAGCTCCGACAACGGTTCTCTGCCACTCTTTCTCCATCTTTACCAGCCGTCTCGAGGTTGTGCCGTTTGTTTCAGATATCCTCCAGCTTAGCGGTTGTGTTATAAGTTGGGGGTCATGATGGGTCTCGCGTATCCCGCTGGTGCTGCAACCGTGTCACTCCTGGTGGTAGGAGGGTGTAAGTTCCCCCCCCCCCCCGGCATTCCAAAATGGCACAGGCTAATAATCATCGGGTTTAGACATGCTTTTTCATGGGGATGGTGAAGCTTTTAATGTAGGGACCGCTTGAACGATTTCGCTATCTTCCGGAGCACTCCCGATCTAACTAACTGGTCTAGGTTGGCCAATTTCTCGAGTCCGTCTCTCCATATGCTTGGGCAAATATCGGAATTGCGATGTGTATCGGACTGTCGGTTGTTGGTGCTTCATGGTATGCTCTCTATGATTTGGGTTTGGTGATGGAGACAGGGTGGTTGCTGATAAGGTTATTCCAGGGGTATCTTCCTGACGGGCTCATCAATCGTCGGTGGCGGTGTCAAGGCTCCCAGAATCCGGACTAAGAATTTGATTTCTATTATTTTCTGCGAAGTCGTCGCTATTTACGGTGTTATCATGGCTATCGTGTTCTCTTCCAAGCTCAACCTGATTGACATGGAGGAGATCCAGAGTGGCGCCAGTTACTATACTGGATACGCGCTCTTCTGGGGAGGTATCACTGTGGGCGCATGCAACTTGATTTGCGGTATCTCTGTCGGTATCAACGGTAGCGGTGCAGCACTTGCCGATGCTGCCGATCCAAGCCTGTTCGTCCTCCCCAATCCAATGCCGACTGTTTTGGATAGGTACTGACTAGATACGTCCAGGTTCGTCAAGATTCTCGTCATTGAGATTTTCAGCTCCGTCTTGGGTCTTTTCGGTCTCATTGTGGGCCTGTTGGTGGGAGGAAAGGCGACCGACTTTGGCGCATAAGGCGGTCTTCTCCGCGAGAAGAGCCTGGGATCAGGACGTGGGGTATCCGATTTGTACGACTTCTATTGTTTCTTTTCTTGGCTTTTTTTTTCTTATCTTTCCTCCTTTATATATCGCATTGAGGCGTATGGATCCGATTTAGCTGTCGAGCCTTGTGTCTGCGTGAATTACACGAAACAAAAACAATCCCGCTGGTTAGCCGCGATGATGAGATTGACGGAACGTGGTGTACAGTACAAGGCGCCGGGAATAATGGAAATTTCCTTTCCTATACCATAGATTACTGAATGAGAATACTTTGAGCGTGAGTCTTGTCTATCAAGGTATATATATATCTATATCTCTCTCTCTCTTAACGGGGTGATCCGCGTGTGATGTCCAGTGACCCCGCGGTCAAGTTGGAGGAGCAGGTGGCCTTGAATTCCTAGGGATTGGCGATGGAGGAAGGCAGAGCGCAGGACAGCATCGCTCGAGCGGGATATTTACGGGAAGAAGAGGTCGGTCGTCGTGTTTAGTTAAACCTGTTATTCATCTCATTAGTGCACCTGTATGATCTACCTAGCTTCCTGTCAGGATATTTGAGCCTTGAAATTAAGGCGCCACAATAATTAGTTTAGTAGGTAGTTCTCTGCTCACCTTGCTCACCTCCCCCATACGCTCAGCAACACTTTTTTTTTCTGCACATCGTCTTCCAACCGGTTACATTGTATCCAGATTATGAATATCCGTCAGCAGTTCCCTGATGTTCACTGGGTCTGGAAAGGAGGAATCTCCTTTGTCTATGAGGTTCATCCTCGTACAGCATATCTATCATCATGAAGATTTGACGCAAGCGAGCTGAACGACAAAAAGGGACCGGTGTATGAATATCTCTCAGTTTGAGATCTCACTTAATGCGCATGTTGAACCCATTCAGGAAACGAGTCACAGAGGCACACAGGGGATACCCATCTCGGTCTCCGGAAGGAAGCACGAATAGTTCCTTTCGTATAGCTTCAGCCGAATTAGGGTTTGGAGAGAGTGTATAATATTCCAAACTGATATGGCTACACATTCAAGGCGGAGGGCGGTTTTTCGGGCTAGACATCAAATACTTATCCGGACTCGAGTCTTTAGATACATGGAAGCTATCACAGAAAGTACTAAATGGCCTTGCCAACTAACTGTCTAAGTATGTGCGATCTTGGTGGGTTATGCCATGAGGATGAGGCAAAGCAACGGAAACCCGCCGTCGGTGCGCCTCAAGACACTTCCCTAGGATCGCAACCACTATGGATTTTGATAGAGAGGTGTTGGCCGCGGGATGAGACGCTCCTTCTGTTTGAGAGATCCTTCCCTTGAAGTCATTCTAAATCCATGGCAAGAAGGGCAGGAATATAAATTGGGAAGGGGGGGGGGGGGGGGGGGAGGGCCTACCGTGCCTTCCCCCCACAGGTTCATTTCGGTATCCTCATTAACATCAAGGTCTGAACTGCGGTTACAATAGCGCCCAGTACATGTTACCGAGCTTTGGGGACATCAGGCGACGGTACCGCTTCCCCATCAAGTATGACTGATTCCGTTCTGTCGGATTGCTGGCTTGACCCTCGATGCATGAGGCATCCCGGAACAGTCGCCCAATATCCCCTGAACTCGTGATTAACTGTCTTCTTTCTCTGTATTCTAAAATATCAGGGATAATGCGCTTCCACTTTGGGTCATTGAAGCCCAATCCAGCCCCAAGATCCAGCCATTTAGTCACCAACACTGCCTTTCCATCTGTCCCACAGTCTCGGAGGTCAAATTGGAATTCAATGCCGCAAATTGGACAGCCCATACACTCAAAAGTGTTGCTTTTCTCCAGACGGAAACCCCGCGTTTGGATGGCAGAACGGATATCAAACCCACTGGCATTGCAGTCTAATCTATTGTGCCGACAGATCCATATATTCCCGAGGGTTGACATGACTGTGTTGACATCCGGATCATCATGAAAAAGCACCCAGTTTTGTATCTGGAGGACTAATGTCGAGCGTTCCTCATCCAGCGAGCAGACCCGCCCTTCCACGGAGAGTAATGTGGTGGTCGCTGGATAGAATTTCCAATCCATAACCTCTGTGTAGGCCAATCGCTCGACCGCCCTTCCGTGTGGGTGACCATGATAGTGGTTTTTCATCACAGCCGTTAAATGACAGTGCCGGAAACGATATAAACTTGACATGCCATGGACTTGAAAGAAAAGCAGAAGATAGTTTGGTGAAGGCTTGGTGCGTAATAGCCCTATATCTGGGCACTTGTGATAGATGTCTGTTTTGGTTGATGCCGGGTGATGGATGTCTGCAGTTGGATGCAGCTTGACACAATAGTGGCAGCAAAACATGGTTGGTAAATCGCCGGCTATTCTGGTAAGAATAGCTAGCCTTAATGAACTGTCACCTGTTGGTAAGGCTGGCTTTCTGATAACATTGAGTAGGGTATAGCTGCACAGAGTCAAGCAGATGATATCTGGCTTCTCCAGGAAATCCGTGATGCACCATATGAGTTCAGGCGGCAACTTTTCCAATATTGATAATTGTCTTTGCCGTGGGATGTGCAGTCTCCAGCGTGGGAATTTCTGCAACAACCAATCCAGGAAACCCATGTTGCAGACTGTATGCTGTGACTGCTCAATACCATCGCACCATAGGAGAACAAAAAGTTGGCAGAGGTATGCAACCTGTCATGTGATCCAAATAGAGGCTTCCTGATGAATGCATCTGTCATGCCGGAAATGTTCTCCGAATACTCTCCATCAGCCATAAACCTTAGACCAGTAGAAATGGCACTTAGAGCTGGAGTATATTACTGTAGTGGTGCACCAGGATATGGGCTTCGCTTTAGCTAACCGGTCGACGTACCGCATCTTGGGATACATTCGTTACCCTAGAAGTTGATTTGCATCGCGCTAACTTTGGAACTGCCACTAAGGAGGTACAGTTGGTGATCACCTGATGCACAGCCCCATCTCATGCACATTTTGCCCCTTACTAACTTTCTAGATAGCAATTTTTAACTTCATATATTTCATTTAATATAACTCTAATTAAAGTAGTATTAGAAGTAATTAATTCCTTAGAACTAGGTACTTTAATTAACTATACTAAAATTATAAAATAATTTAGTATTAAGTAATCAACATTATTAAGGTGCTATTATAGGATTTTATATTTAAAAGATTACTAATATAAGTAATAATAAGTTTTTAGTAACTAATATAAAAAAGAACTTATAAAATATATTAATAAACTTACTAAATAAGGTCTCTTTATATTCCATAAAATATTACATAATTTTATAAAGAAAATAAGTAAATAGAAGTCTAGAAAATACTAGCCTAGCTACTTTCTAAAATAATACTAAGATAATCTTATTTTAACCTATATAATTACTATTAATATTATATAAAAATAAGCTAATTTTATATATAAATATACACTATATTTTAAATTACTATACTAGAAACTAGAGAAATATAAGCTATATATAAAGAATATCTATAATATAGATAAAAAAAAATTTCTTATTAAAATATTTATTAAAGGTCTCAGGATCTTTTTTAAGTAAAAATATAAGAATAGGGCCTTTAAGTAGTGCCTATAAGATAGAAATTAAGAGTAGATAATCTTAATTACTTATATTTATACTAATAGAAGCTTGCTCTTACTAGATCTTATTTACTAGGCTACTAGTAGTAATATCTAGGATTCCTAGCTATAAGACTTTAATTTTAAGCTTTATAATTACTTCTTTACCTTCTCTACAAGTAGTTAGATAAATAATAAGCTAAGATATACCTAATTAATAAATATATTTAATTAGGAGATAAAGGAAAAAGTATAGAGATATTAGAGACTTTTAATCCTTAATAATTATAAATTTTATCTTACTATAAAGTTTATTAATTATTATAATATTAATAGGATTCTTTTAATAACTTATCTACCTTATTTAACTTATTTACTATAGCTACTTAATATTAGAATCTTTAGTCCTCTTTCTACTACTTATAATAAGAATCTAGAGAATTTCTTATATAAATTAATAAGTTTTAGCTATATTATTAAGTAGGATTTCTTCTACCTCTTCTAGCTAGCCTAGAATCAGACTTTATTATTAAAAAATATACTTTCTTTATAAAAAATTATTAGGATATTATTACTTAATTTTAAGATTATTTTAATCTAATTTAATAGAAAGATAGACTCGCGGCTATTATCTAGTAATTTTTTATAATTAATCCTATAAGTAGAGGACTAGAGAAAGATTAAAAGACTTTTAAATTATATAATTACTAATATATATAATAAAAATACTAAGAAGTTAAGTTTTATAATATATTATTTTTTTATAGAGAATATAATCCTTAAACTATATTATAAGAATCTTAAATTAGCTCTCTAGAATAAAAAGAAGAAGTACTAGTATAGTAAGTTTTTAAAATTTAAACTTGTAGTACCTAAAAATAGTAATATAATATTTTACTCTCTATAAAAGATCTAGCAAGCCTATAATCTTTAGAAGTAGAAAGATAAGATTATATAATTTACTAAGACCTTAAAGAAGGAAGAAAAGGTTTATTAGTAGCTTGCTAAAGAAAAGAAATAATACTTATTTAAAGAATATAAGAGAAATTAAGCATCTTAATAAAAATTATAATTATTAGAGGTAGAGTAGAAGAAATAATAGAAGGAGAAGGTATACCTAATAAAAAAAATAAATTATTAGCTTTAAAATAACTTCTAGAAGGTAAAGAAGACCCTAAAAAAGATATTTATAGCTTTATACTAGCTAAAATCTATAGAAACTAGGCTAATAACCCCTATAAATATTATTAAGGCCCCTCCTATAGTAAATTATTAAGGCCATAAGATCTAACTACCATACTACTTTTAGGGTAACTAAAAATCATCTATAGACTATATCTAATAACTACTTTTAACTACTAAAAATTTAAGAGATAATATTAATTATATATAGTTAAATTACTTTATGTTAGTTCTTATAGTTAGTAGTAATTTCATGCATCAGGTGGGGCCATGCATCAGGTGATCACCAACTGTAACAGAAAAGCCTTGTTAATACATGAGTGGCTTCGACCCAATCACTCTTAAAGCAGAGATTAAACCCTCAAGAAAATTCCAGATTGAAAGCTTCATTCTCTGAAAGACCTTGTGAATGCATCCTGGCAACAGTGTCAAGTGTAAAAAGACCGCGAGCAACATGGATATAGGGGCCGTGGAATCCAATCACAAAAGTCTCTTGGTCTTACAATACCTTGCTTTCCTTCCAGACAGCCAGGGTTCTCGCAAGCTGTCCCAACATTATACTGAGTGTTTCCCCAAAAAAACTCGCTCCATGTCTGTCCTATAAACCACTATGCGCAAAGTGAGTGGCGACCCTAAAGGAAAAGGGAGATGAAACGTACACCAGTAAAGGAAACTATCGGTAAGCTTTGCTCTCGAGGACCGATAGCAACCTGACCCTCCGATCTAGCCTCGTACTGTGTGCCACCAATAATATACTTCATTTTTGAAGCGGATATATTGGAAACCTTTTCAGCAAAAAGTCAGTGGAAAATAAGGATATATAATGAAGAAAATCAATACACACCAAATTTCAGGGTCTCCTTTTTGTATACTTTCCAGACTTCTGTACACACTCTGCATAAGTAACCTGAGAAGCATGCCCTGTGATTTGATATACTGCAAACAACTCTTTCTCCCCTCCGATTCCCAGTTTTTTTTTTTTTAGCGGTATTGTAACAGTCTCGCTGGCTGTCCAAGTGCTTCCGATCCCGGAGGTATCAAAAGAAAAAGAACGGGCTCTTGACAAGGCACAATGAGAGAGGAGGAGACTGTCGAAGAAAAAGAACAAAGTAGAGTCTTTATCTGGCCAGGACTCCATGTCATCTTCCACTGCAGTATTCTCCATGTCAAAACACCCAAGGTATCAATCGCTCTATATCTTTCTCTGTATAATATGTTGGAGTGCTGCACTCAGTGAATGCAACCAGCACCACCATAAAGCAGCATTACTATAAAGAAGAAGATAGTGATATATGATTACTTTATATATTTAGGCCACTATTTCCTTCTAGATCTTTATACTTCTTCCAAGTATTTCTCCTTCTCTATTTTCCTAGTTAGACCTAATTAAATTAATTTTAGTTAACTCTCTACTATCATAGTTTAATAACCTTTATTAGGTTATAAGCCCTCTTTAAGATTCTATTTTATACTTTATAGACCTCTAAAAAACTCTTATTATACTCTTATACCCCTATATAGAGATCTACTACCTAATTAAATAAAGATCCTTGTCACGGCGCGAAGCCGTAGTACCTATCTAGTTAGATTCTGCCTTGACTGTCCGCCCTTATTCCTATATTTAAGCCATATTGCCCTTAATCCTATTATAGTTCTTCAAGCTATGTCCTGTCTATTACCTAATACCTACTATTCTATTATTCTATCTAGTTAGCTCCTAATTAATAAATATCTAAATCTAACTCTACCCCCTAATATTATATAGCTCCTCTTTACTAGGAGTTAATTACTACTATCATGCCTGTCTTACTACTCATGCTACCTAAAAATATAGAAATCCTCCTGTATAATACTCCTGATAAATTAAGATAATATATTACTAAAATATACTAATTCTCTACTATTACTATAGAAGAACTCTATAAATTATCTATCTTATATTTTATTATTACTAATCTTTTTAATTATATTTAATAGAAAGATAATATAATTAAGTACTAGAAAATATAAGTTAAAAAAATTTAATAAGAATTATTTAAAATACTTACTTAAAATAGCATGCCTTCTTAATTACTATCTTTTTTTAAAAAAGATACTAATATTACTACCCCCCCTATTACTATTATTACTCTTATTATATTTATTTCTACTATTTAAACCTCTAAATAACTTCCTAATCTTAATAAATTTAATAACTAATAAAGTAACTTAAGATACTTTACTTCTTAAATTTACTAGAAAATAATTATAAATCTTAATTATTTTCTAATCTTAAATAATAAAATAATTTATATAATTAATTATTTTAAAAGAACTTTATATATCTAAATCTTATTATATATTTAAGATAAAATTTATAAACTAAATAATTATATTAAGATTTTAGAAATTTTAGAAAAAACTTTTAAAAATCTAAATCTAGAAATTAATACTTATATTAACTTATTCTATCTCTAATAAACCTACTATAAGTTTAATATCTTTTTTACTAAATTCTAATATCTTATATTAAAAGAGAATATAAATAAAAATATCTTATTTATAATTTTAAAATAGGCTATTAATTAAGAATTTTAAAAGATATTAATATATTTTAAAGTCCTATTATAATATTATAACTTTATTAATTACCTATAAAATCTAGAAAATTACTATTACTATTATATAAGTATTACTCTATTCCTATTTATAAAGAATTTCTAGCCTTCCTAACCTATTTTAAAATTAATTTTTACTACCTAAATTCCTGTAGTCTCTATTAATCCTATTATTATTATTATTCCTACTAAAGACTTAATAGACCTGTCTATTACTTATTACTTTAATTATTAAATCTAATACCTATATTACTACTATAGTAGTACTAACTATCTAGTAGGCAGCTATCTATATCCTAACTAAAGATTAACTAGCTATATCTCTATATCTATTACTAAACTAGACCTATACCCTCTATTAATTAAAATCCTACTTATTAAATATTCTATATTCCCTAAATTAGAAAATAGAGTATTTCTAATCTAAGCTATAATTAGGGATACCCCTAGTACTCCCTCTACCTATTAAAGGCTGTAATAGCTAGAATAATAGTAAAG